GATGTACCTTGTTTATCACTTAGCATTTTGAAGTCCTATTCTTTATCTATGGTGTCGTATACATTTTCACTGTCTGATGCTATGAACTGTCTCTCCTCAGCTGAACAACTCACCCCAACTTCAGCCATGATAATTGGACTCTCACTTGGCAGCTCAACTAGTTCCATTTCTTCCTGGGCGCCTATATGTGCACTGGCCTGGGAGTTATAGACCACTCTTATAACTGGATCTATTTCCTCTAGCCTACCTTTTCTTTTCTCACAGTAAAGAAGTAGACTTAGTGTTAGGGACACCACTGCCAGGAGTCCCGATGTGCATGACACAATAATCAGAATATAAATTATTTTGTGAACACTCGTTTGAACTTTATCAGGCGACAGAGACTGACAGGATCCACTTCCATTCTTAGCACAGCAATGTTGAGAGCCTGCTTCTGAGGATGTTCCTGTAGGACACATGGAACATGAGGTCATGTCGGGGTTTTTGAAGGTACCAGGTATGCAGGAACAACTCTCAGATCCAACTGTTGAAGTTGAGAATGGCGAGCAAGGGGCACAAGCAGACATTTGGGAGTCTTTGTAGGTATTCTGAGGGCATAAGACACAGGTTTCGCTAGTATTTTCAGTCCAACTCCAGTTAGTACCAATTGGGCAGTTGCAAGCTGTTCCGTTATATATGACCTTTGATCCAGGCGGACAGCTTAGGCATTGTAAGGATTTGCTCCAATACCTATCCTCAATACAGGCACACCGGTCAGAACTGGCTGCTGACGAGGAGAAATCAGGGCAGAATGTACATGATGTCCTAGTCCCAGTTCCAGCTTCGTAAGTGTTAGCAGCAGGACAGGGTCTACAAGACCTAGAACTAGTGTATTGACCTGGAGGGCAGGTCACACTGATGCAACTGGAGGAACCAGTAGTGGAGGTAGATGTGGCTGAGCATGAAGTACACCATGTCCTAGAATTAGTTCCAGATTTGTAAGTGTTAGCAGCACAGGTTCTACAGTACCATCTATTATAATTATTATAACTATAAGCGTATTGACCTGGAGGGCAGGTCACTGGCAGGTCCCCTAGCTCATTCCAATTCTCATCAACCAGCAGGAAGCTGCATTCTGAAAAAAGTGCAACTCATTCTCTTGTTGATCTACTTAATCGAACTATATTATAGCGACACTGCTATAATACGACGTGGTTCTCATATCTCTGTATACCTCTAAACATTAAACAGTGTATACGATATAGTGCACTAATTGAACTGTAATGACAGCACTTAACTTTATTGTGACATAAATAATTGCACTACTTATCAGTTTAGACTTTAGCACACTGCTAGTAGCACACTGCTAGTAACACACTGCTAGTAGCACACTGCTAGTAGCACACTGCTAGTAGCACACTGCTAGTAGCACACTGCTAGTAGCACACTGCTAGTAGCACACTGCTAGTAGCACACTGCTAGTAGCACACTGCTAGTAGCACACTGCTAGTAACACACTGCTAGTAACACACTGCTAGTAACACACTGCTAGTAACACACTGCTAGTAGCACACTGCTAGTAGCACACTGCTAGTAACACACTGCTAGTAACACACTGCTAGTAACACACTGCTAGTAGCACACTGCTAGTAACACACTGCTAGTAGCACACTGCTAGTAACACACTGCTAGTAGCACACCGCTAGTAGCACACTGCTAGTAACACACTGCTAGTAACACACTGCTAGTAACACACTACTAGTAATACACTGCTAGTAACACACTGCTAGTAACACACTGCTAGTAACACACTACTAGTAATACACTGCTAGTAACACACTGCTAGTAGCACACTGCTAGTAACACACTGCTAGTAGCACACCGCTAGTAGCACACTGCAGGTAGCACACTGCTAGTGGCATACTGCTAGTAGCACACTGCTAGTAGCACACTGCTAGTAGCACACTGCTAGTAACACACTGCTAGTAACACACTGCTAGTAACACACTGCTAGTAGCACACCGCTAGTAGCACACTGCTAGTAGTACACTGCTAGTAGCACACTGCTAGTAGCACACTGCTAGTAGCACACCGCTAGTAGCACACCGCTAGTAGCACACTGCAGGTAGCACACTGCTAGTAACACATTTCTAGTAAGTAGTAGCACACTGCTAGTAGCACACTGCTAGTAACACACTGCTAGTAACACACTGCTAGTAACACACTACTAGTAATACACTGCTAGTAACACACTGCTAGTAGCACACTGCTAGTAACACACTGCTAGTAGCACACCGCTAGTAGCACACTGCAGGTAGCACACTGCTAGTGGCATACTGCTAGTAGCACACTGCTAGTAGCACACTGCTAGTAGCACACTGCTAGTAACACACTGCTAGTAACACACTGCTAGTAACACACTGCTAGTAGCACACTGCTAGTAGCACACTGCTAGTAGTACACTGCTAGTAGCACACTGCTAGTAGCACACTGCTAGTAGCACACCGCTAGTAGCACACCGCTAGTAGCACACTGCAGGTAGCACACTGCTAGTAACACACTGCTAGTAGCATACTGCTAGTAGCAACCTGCTAGTGTACACTGCTAGTAGTACATTGCTAGTAGCACACTGCTAGTAGCACACTGCTAGTTGCACACTGCTAGTAGCACACTACTAGTAACACACTGCTAGTAGCACACTGCTAGTAACACACTGCTAGTAACACACTGCTAGTAACACATTTCTAGTAAGTAGTAGCACACTGCTAGTAGCACACTGCTAGTAACACACTGCTAGTAACACATTGCTAGTAACACACTGCTAGTAACACACTGCTAGTAACACACTGCTAGTAACACACTGCTAGTAGCACACCGCTAGTAGCACACTGCAGGTAGCACACTGCTAGTGGCATACTGCTAGTAGCACATTGCTAGTAGCACACTGCTAGTAGCACACTGCTAGTAACACACTGCTAGTAACACACTGCTAGTAACACACTGCTAATAGCACACCGCTAGTAGCACATTGCAGGTAGCACACTGCTAGTAGCACACTGCTAGTAGCACACTGCTAGTAGCACACTGCTAGTAGCACACTGCTAGTAGCAACCTGCTAGTAGCACACTGCTAGTAGCAACCTGCTAGTAGCACACTGCTAGTAGCACACTGCTAGTAGCAACCTGCTAGTAGCACACTGCTAGTAGCACACTGCTAGTAGTACACTGCTAGTAGCAAACTGCAGGCAGCACACTGCTGGTAGCACACTGCTAGTAGTACACTGCTAGTAGCACACTATTGATAGCACCATATTTAGTCACGTAATATATTCGTTATACTATTAATTAAAACAGAAAATTAGTTTTAAAAATTAAGATTATAAACTAATAAACTTACGGTAATTAGTCAGAATTAGAGCGAGCAGCAACGCTATCTTTGTCGGAAGCAGCATCTTTCACAAAAACAAACAGGGGTGAACTCTCCGATCAGACGATGAAATATGCGATCAAATTGCGACGTATCAATGTAACGTTTGGAATTATCTACCAACGTGATTTGTTGAGTTATGTAAGAGCACCCCAGTGAGCACCTGTATTATCTACCATTCAAAATAATCCGGTTTATGGATTTTGAGTTCCTCATTTAGTGGTATAGAATTTCAATTCAAACTTCAAAGAGAAGTCTTTTTGTTGACAAGTAAAACTCTATTACCGGTTACTGAGCTGGTTACCATGGTAATTGAGCTGCTGGTTACTGTGGTTACTGCTGACACGAACTCAAGATTGCCTTTAACGAACTTATCATAAAAATGTGCTGTCATCTTTCACTGCTCCCACGATTCTTTGAGTTGATTTTGAGTTCCTTATTTTGTGGTGTAAGCAGATATACTGTTGATCATGTGGAGATTTTAATTTCAAATTCTCAATATGGTGGTTGAGGTGGTCGAACGGCTAAATTACTAGAATTTGTTAACTCACAGATAATTTTACTACAGCGGATCATCCGATAATCAGAACAGAGACTGGGAACGTTTTGTGATTTCATAAGTTTGTATACGTTTTAACTGCTAAAAATTCATCAAATATTTTGATTGATGATAGGATGCATACTGCATAGGAAAGTACTCGGCACTAACTCAAACCGAACTTGTTACAATTTGCTGGCCGTGAATGAATGGGAAAATCCAGCGACCGATTTCACAAAATGTATATTCCCTTTTGTGGTGCTTTATGTGGCCGGTATGTAACTTCCAAAACATCTATTGGGTCTCATGTCATCCTTAGTAAACCGACTAATTGATCGCTGGACAATAATTCCGTAAAATATTTGAAATTTGTGTTTGAAAATAGGACAGGAGTTCGACAGTATCAATTTTCCACTTTGTAATGCTTTCTTTGAAATGCTTTATCCAGATGGAATCAAAATTCCAGCAAAGCACAATTATTCCTTGAATCAGAACTTCACCATTTTGACGTTATTATTTTCCAGGGACCAATTAGTGAGTTGATGGCACATTTAGGTTTTGAAAGGTAGATTCGCGGAGAAAGCTTTCGCCTTTCGAAGAAGGCTTCATATCCGAGTTTGATCGTTTCTGATACAAGATTGCGGACTTTTTACATAAGAAACACAGACACAAACATCAGTATTAAAACATTGAACACCAATTTATTGACTGTGTAGTCTACTTATTTTACAAAGTAAATATAGCAGTAAAACTTTTGCGACCGACTTTTTCCAGAAAACAGTGCAATTAAAAATAATTGTCTCTATAAATCATCTTGAAATTTAAAAAAACTGAGTACCCCAGGTTTTTCTGTATAACTAATTGCTAGCTTCTCTGATACAGTAATCTTTGCATGTTGTAGGTGAAGCACCTCATTTCACTGTAAGTAATCCTTCTACCCGGTGTATAACTAAGTTCTAAGCCCAATGACGTAGTCGTATCACCTGATGTGACGTCACTGCTCTTCTAATAGTTATTTTACTAGTTCTACTTCGACTAGTTTACCATTAGGGTCAACATGCATTTCAACGTTATGTTCCAGCAGGTAGTTGACATGTTCAGCACAGAAATCCTCTCCTTTCATTCTGCTTTCACATTTCTGGAAAATTTTAAAAGTTTGGTCGACAATGCCAAACTATTTGTGTGTTAAATAAGACAAATTGTAAACTTGAGAAAGGTGGTCCTACAAAACTTTTCCATCTCAGATCTGAAAAATTGTAAACAAATTCTCAGAAAATCCGTGCACTAGCGAAGGATCAAATCGAACATAATATTAATATTATAGAATTATGAGGGGATCAGTTTCACAAACCGTATTGGCACAGACAACTTGACAGTTGAATCTTCCAGAACACATTCCGCAAATGTCAGGTTGACACCATAGATCACCCGGTACAAACTTTCGATTAAACCTGCAACAAACTTTCATTGTCGGCATGTGAAAAATAATTCGTAAGAAACTGTAACTGACATAATATTGGAATGCATTAAATGCAGGTTCAGTAGATTTGCTTGGAAAATTATGATTATTTTTTAGCTTTATGCAATTCATAGATCCAGAATAGGTTTTCATATAGTTTTAAGAGTTTTAATTATCTTTCCTTCCATATTATTTTAGCCTTTATTGAAGGTATATTGAGTAAATGTGCCGTCCAGGTGGTTGGTAAAGTGCCCCCGGGGAAGCCTCATCAGTACAGCGACGATCCAACTGTCGTTAAACTTTCAGCAGAGAGAAAGTCCCTTCAGCAAGAATGTAGCCTCACAGGGATAAGTGACAGGAGTGGCCTCAGAAAAAGAATCAACCATCTCAAACGTACCATCAAAAAGAGGTTGAAATCTATCAACGAGGCCACTGCTAACGCCCTAGTAGATGTCATCAACAACACCGACAGCTGCAGAAGCATGTTTGAAGCGAATAGAACTTTGGCCCAGTGTAGGATGAAGAAAGATGGAGTGACTGTCCACGATGCAGACGGCAAAACCTTAGGTTCTGACTCATTAAAAGCAGAAGCTATTAAAGAATACTTTAATAATGAGTGCAATGAAAAAGATGAACCCCATCTCCCAGCATTCATAGACCCTCCTGGAAGCCTCCTCTGTCCCATAACACCTGAAGAAGTTGGCCGTGCTGTTATGAAGCTGAAATCCGGTAGAGTGTGTGGCCCTGACGGTATACCTAATGAGCTAATGAAAGCTGCTGGATATCCCCTCCACTGTGAGTTGGCTAGGATCTACAATCTCTCCTTTGACGCCAACACATACATCCCAGCTATTGGAGAAGGTATCCTGACACCCCTTCAGCAGCCAGGAAAACCCCGAGGTCCGGTAAAGTCTATCCGGCCCCTCACATTGCTTAATGGAACTAGAAAAGTCCTATCCCTCGTAGCCTTGAACAGAATCAATTACCACGTTGATATGTACACTGGACCTTGGCAGGCGGCATACAAGCAGGGTCGCAGTTGTGCTGACCTGGTTTGGTCTCAGAGAATGTTGACATCAGTGGTTACCAGGCGCGAGTTTGAGTATAGTAAAATCAACATTGACCGCTGCGTTTAATACCATCCGCAGACAGACCATCATCAACCTCCTCATTGATGCAGGATGCTCTAGAGACGACATTCGCCTGGTTCAGTACCTCCTCTCAAATACAAAGCTCAAGGTGACGGTCAACAGAGCTGAGTCTGGTGAATTCGTGATTAATATTGGAGCTTACCAGGGAGACAGTCTGGCAGGTAAAGTGTTTACATTGACCCTTGCCGGTGCCCTGAATCACATCAGAGCCGTGATCAGTGTCACAATCCCTAGACCGAACCCCCCAGTCTCTGATAGAAGCCTCCCGTTAGAGTCCGCCTATGCTGACGATGCTGAGCTTCTGAGTGAAGATGGTCAGAGTCTGGTGAAGATACTAGAGATTGCCAGTGACATACTAAAGGACTGGAGTCTCTTTGTTAACGAATCAAAGACGGTGTTTACAAGAGTGTATTTGGCAGGAACAGATGCTTTAGATGCCCATGGCAATAAAATCAGAGGAAATGAAGAGTGGCGACAGTCAGTGCTATTAGGATCAAAGCTCTGTTCAGAAAGAGATATTGTCAACAGACGCAACAAAGCCAATGTTGCCTTCTACACCTACAAGAAAGTTGTACGAAGCTCTTGTCACTTCAGTGTTGTTGTATAACTGTAGCAGCTGGGCTGCTCCTGAAACCGTAATGGCATCTGTCGACGTTCTTCAAAGGAAGCATCTGAGACAGATAATCAACACCTATTGGCCTACGGTTATCAGTAACGAGAACTTATATAAAAGATGTAATGTCAGTCCCCTTACTGAAACGATCAAGAAAGCACGATGGAAGATGCTTGGGCACGTTCTCAGAGGCGGTGATGACACTCCCGCTTTCTTATCTTTTAGATTTGCATGTTTAGGATGTCTTGACTACAAAGGAAGGAGGCGCAGACCTCGTTCAAATTTATTTGATTTATTATTAAGACATTATGACGAAGAATATTATTATATATATATTGTGATTGTAATTTCAACGATTTAGTGTACAAAGCTCATGATAGACGTTTATGGAGAAGCTATGGGTGAGTCGAGACTACTCGGCCACTCGATTTTATGATTTATTTCCTATTATCTTGTGTTTGCTGTATATAGTTGATTAATAAATAAATAGGTAGTTCACTTTTAAAAACTTTACAATTTACCAGATACCGTGCCTTTCGCCACTTAAACGAAATGAAATGAGGATCGCGAAGTGAAACAAAATCAAACCTTGAGAAGAAGCAAAGGTTGTGGTCAGCTGGGAAGGAGGTTGTCAGATGAAGTAAACTCAGGGTACCGATTAAGAAGAGTAGCTTCATCATCCTGCAGCTGACAGCATAAAGAGTGAGAACTCGCAGAAATTAGCTGCATTACGTACAGCGTACCTTACTTCCCAAAAATTAAAGATAAAAAGAAGATTAATGGAAAATTAGATGAATGGCAACTAATCAAGTCCAAATGTTTGGTAACCAAATTATTGAGCCCAAAGTTTTGGCACATAACTTTTAGGGAAATGGGAACTAAGGTACCATGTAATTTGTAGATATTAAAATAGCAATTAAAATAAGAGTTAAACAAAAAATGTACGATGCAATGCGAGGTAAGGACAAGTTTCAGGATTAACTAAACGTTTAATGAATTAACTAAGTTGTATTCTAGACTGACTCCTTTCAATGTTGCTCAATATATGTTTGACTAATCAACTAATGCTAATGCTAATGAATAACGATGCTTAATATTATTATGAATAATATTATATGTAAACTATATATATATTTATATATATATTAGGTTATATAATAACGTATATGATGTGGAATGTGGATTCTGATGGGGAAGTGCCGAGGTGAGGCATATTTGTTTGCCATAAATTTGACACGTGATCGAACACGTCAATCCACACCAGAGTTCACATCTACAGGTCTATTAGTATTGTATTTCCTTAAGTGCTATATTAATTGTATTATAATAACGTAATAAATTATCATGTGTTTTATTTGTGTCTAATACTAAAATTGAATAAAATGTTCTAACATATAAGACTATATTAAAATGGAACACAAGACTTAAGTTTATTTTCGAAACAAAATACCAATGACACCAAAAATCTGAGAATACCGTTCGTGCATGTCGTGCAACGCTCACTGAAAAATACAGCTAACTCCAAAATACTACTGATGAGAAGCTAATGTCCGAGCGACATGCGGACACTGAGCTCAATGTCTGACTGTAGTCAATGAGCAGATAATGACTCAGGTCCTGTACAGGGAACCTGCTAAACTGCCAGTACTCTAATTGTAACTGTAACTGTCACATTTAGCTCGTTTACTAACTTTATTAATTAGAGTTTGACACGGTAGATGTGGTAATATACTGCGTTATTGTAAAAATAGTTATACTTTTCGAGTATATCTTGAGGAGTATCGGGCGGAAGTCGAAGGAACTCTATTTTAAGTTATACTATAAGTATAACTCAGGAAACACCCCTGATGGCATCATTACTCGAACTCAATAATTTATTATCTTTATTTGGAATCGAATCTATAAATGTTTCAAAATTGTCCCACATTCAAACGCACAGCGGGGGTCAGCGGGGCCCTTCGTTGCACCAACTTCAAGTACCTCTGCTTGTATGTCGATCCAAATTGGTAAACCTATCATCTATCACTATCAACACAATTGTAACTGCAGTTTTGCAGAACTTTAAAGTTAGACACTTAATCAATGAATACCTTTACAGGTACCATTTCCCAATACAATACGAGATTAGCGGACGTAGTTAGGGAATTATGCACAATGTCTGGGAAAAATTTGCGACAAGTAGCTTTCTGCAGGAATTTGTTGTCCATAGTGTCAGGAACCACCCCAAAGAGTTTTGAATCTAAATCTGATTGGGAAAAAAAGTTAGAGCAAATTTTCTCCAAGCGCCTAATTCAGCCTGAAAACCGCACTTGTAACTATTGTAAGAAAGACACATAGGAGCCCTATAGGGGGTGCAAAATGACCGCAATAATGACATTATTATTATGTATTTTTCGGTAACCATTGTAATTGTACAAGGTTGGAGCAGTGCTAAAACTAACAAAATCCAAAAGGGAACAAAAAGGAACAAAAGAGAAACAAAGAAATCGCGGGGAAGGGAGAAATCATATCGCCCACAAGAAATATTGGATTGTGGAAAATGGGCAATTAACTGCACGACTATTTACCGAAATGAAACAACTTTACAGTAAGTATACTATTAATTTTGTTGTTGTAAACTGTTGTTTTCCAGTACCCAGACTCCGAAAACAAATTGATGAATTAAAATGTTGTATACCTCTTCAGTTGCCAACTTTGTAACATGTGTTATGTAGGAAGAACGGTGCAGCCCCTCAGGGCACGAGTAAACGAACATCGCGCCCATTACTACAAACTCATTTCGGACAATACCTTTGTCCCTGAAGAAAACGACGACGGATTCAGCTTGGGTAAACACCTTGTAGAAGTTCATAACATGAAACAACGTGACAATTTCAACCAGGCTTATAAAGTGTCAATTCTCAGTAATAGTAGCCCAAGAACTCTAGAAGTGGATGAACACCGTTATATTCAGAAACTAAGAACTATACGTCCATTGGGGCTCAATGCCGTGGACCCGTTTGGGATTCCATTATTGGATTTATCTTAAATGTTTTCTATTGCATTGGGGCACAAGAGTTATGTTTTTTAAAAATATTCATATCGTTTTTAGTTGTGTCATTTCATTCCCAATGTTACACTTTGTAGGAACTGATATTAACCGAGTTTCTGATTCAGGATGTTACTGAAGATAGTAATGAAAATGTTTTAACACCTCAGTACTGTGTTTTACTACAGCTCAACCTGCTCAGTCTGACTATTTGGGAATTTAAACTCTTGATACCCATAAGGGTTTTGAAACCAATATATAATTATAAACTATTAACTGAGATTCTGCCTACGGAGTGCAAAGGAGACAGCTGGAAGAGTCTGGGTGTCAAATTTGATGAAACTCTAAACATGGAAAGACAGATCAATAATGTCAAAAGGAAATGCAGCTGGACAATGATGAACCTAAGAACCATTGGTCGTTACCTGGATGAAGGCATTAAATTGATGCTGGTGAAACAACTGGTCATAACTAAATTAGACTACTGTAATTCTCTTTACATGAATCTACCCAAGACCAGATTGAACAAACTTAGATCAACCCTTAATGGGGCAGTTCGTTTCATCTACAGCATAGAAGAGAGGACCACGGACTTGGTTCCCTTCTATAAGAAGGCCCACATACTCCCTATAGACCAACGAATCTTCTTCAAAGTTTGTCTTTTAACCCACAAATCAGTTCACGGTACTGCACCTGATTACCTCAAAGCACTACTGGATGTGGATGTAGTGGATATAGAGCTTTCAAACACCATGACCAGGTCGAAAAGACCGGATGACCATCTCATGCTCAAGATACCAAAGAATAAAAGATCCAAAGTTGATGACAGACGTTTTTCAAGCCATGCACCGGTTGCATGGAACTCTCTTCCGCTGATGTTGAGAAGTATTACTGATACCAACTGTTTAAAGCGAATGTTAAAGAATCATTTATATAATCACTTCTGATGTTTTTTTTTCTTTCCATTGTCTTCACTTTGCAAGACACGTTAGCTTTTATTTTTTACCGCACTCCATTTTATGTCTTGATGTCTAACTTTCTAGGATCTGTCTCTTTCTTGATTGATTATGTCACTGTACCTTTATTTTACCTACATGTATTGTATGGTTTCTGCTTCTACTTAGTTTAGTGTGGTTTACAATAAAAGATGTTTTAATTTTGTCTTTACCTTATGACGAGTTATACTTTAGTTCACTTTTACACATTTGCTCACATCACTCACAGTCAGCCGCTCTGACATGGTTAACCACCTTCCTTGTGTTGTTGGTTAATCATATGAGCGGGATATAAATACCTCATTTCATTTCATTTCATTTCAACTAATATAGTTTACAAATGTACAATAGTTTATCGAACTTACAACTGCATTAGAATTACACTGAATGTTCGAAATTTATAAGAAAAGTTTAATCATAGTTGATTGTGTGTCCTTCTAAGGTATGGTTTCATTCGACCTCAAATATTAATAAACTTTTTGAGCAATTTTGAACATTATAAAATTGAAAATGTAAATAGTACAATGAACAATGATTTAATACTAGTCTGATGACCCAGAAACACTGATTCGCCCCACATAATGTCATTATTGCGGTCATTTTGCACCCCCTATGGGACTCCTATGTGTCTTTCTTACAATAGTTACAAGTTTTTGAAGTGCGGTTCTCAGGCTGAGTTAGGCGCCTGGAGAAAATTTGCTCTAACTTTTTTTCCCAATAATTCCAGATTCAAAAATCGTTGGGTGGTTCCTGACACTATGGACAACACATTCCTGCAGAAAACAGCTTGTCGCAAATTTTTCCCAGATGGTTGTGTATCAATGTTAATTGTTCCCTAACTAACGGGTCAGAAACGATCTACTATTTACTAATAACGATATTGAGTTCAGGTTTTATTGAGTGTGAAGTCATCTTATTTTATTAATTTTTTGTAGCAGTAAAACCCTAAAAAATTACAGTCAGAGAATTTAATTTTACTTTATTTTCAATTAACAATATGCCTGAGAACCCGGTCTTCGTCGAAATTTAAATATTAACAATTTAACTAACCACCCTTATAACTGATACAGCTACAAATCCTTGTACGGTCCATTATTTTAATGTTACTCATTTGCTTATAAAGATTTGACACATCCAATTGGTAATGTTTAGGAATAACTATGACAAAGTGTAAACAACATTTCGGGTGCAATCGTAGTAATTATTTAGTCTGGAGTAACTAAGTTCATTTTGTATAGCCTAGTCGTATATCACCTGATGTGACATCACAACATTCCAGTATTCATCAGATGAACCTGGATTACTCTACTAATAGTCTTTCTACTAGTTGCACTACTCGTTCCAGTTCTAGTTCTAGTTCTCCGTAAGGGTCAACATGCATATCAATGTGATGTGCATGCAGGAATTTAACATGTTTAGCGCAGAACCTCTCCCCCTTCACTCCCTCGTCACACTTCTGAACAATTTAATGTTAACTTTATATTATATATGTATGATAATAACATTATTAATATAATGTTAACTTAAAAAACAAACACCTATCCTCTCGATCTCGTTAGAGTTCTGAAAAATGATAAATATTCTAAACAACATGATTTACCTTACAGGCTCTTATTTAAGTAATTTGCCCTTCTTTTCTGATAATTAAATTTGGCTAGCTTATAATGTTGGCAGCCTTCAATTTGCCTGTTCAAACCGGGCACTTAGTGGAATGTATAATTCATTAAAAAGGACCACCGAAATAAAATATAAAGCTCTGTTGCATAACCACCGTAATAAGTTGAATCGGGACTTTTAGGACTATTTATGGGTTATAACTCATTGTAACAAGTACATAATGTATAGAAACTGAAATTGCTAACCGTATTGGTACAGACAACTTGGCAATTGAATCTTCCAGAGCATATCCCACAGGTTTCCGGTTCACACCACAATTCACCAGGTTTGTAACGTTTGTCAAACCTGTGATTGAGTAAATTGAAATGTATGAAGCAGTGAGTTGGTGACTGGTGAGTCGATCATGTTCATGTTTCCTTCATAAAACAGATTGGAATTTGGACAATTAACTGACATTTTACCAATCCACAAAGAATACAATAGTCTGGACGTCAAACCTTTTCAAGTAACAATAGCCGTCATCATCAGGAGGAGGGCAGGTTACCAGATGAAGTAGAATCAGTATTATAACAAATGAGAGCAGCTTCATCATCCTGCTGCTGCTGGTGGTAACATTTATTAATACAGGTAACTCAAGTCAGGGAAAGACTAAAGACTAACCCCCCAGTTCCATAGCGGATATTATGCCAAATTATTAGACGGAGGTCCATTTCTAGGGTGATGATTCTCCGGCTCCGTCTACTGTATTAGACGGAGATGAAGCTCTCCGGGAATTTCTCGGAGATTGTAGCAGTTTGTGGCAGTTTCTTTGCACTTTGCTCCATCTGTGAGAATCAACAAAATTACCGTAGATGGTCTCCGGATAAGGTTATGGAACTGCAAACCGGAGAAATATCCGAAGAAATATTAGTTGACGATCTCCGTTTAATAATTTGGCATAAAATCCGCTATGGAACTGGGGGGTAACAGGTAAGATAACGACTATCCGTGAAAATTTAATAGAATTTATAATTCGCTCAAGTTTTGATTTTGTAGTAGACCTGCGACAGACAGTGAACATAAAACCCTAAATGATATAATAGAACCTAGTCTGTTGAGCCAGGCAAAATTTACTATAATTCATGTCCCTGAGGCCTGAGATGGAACGCAAGCTTAAAAACCCGAAATACCGATGACATAAACCTAAAATACGAATATTAACACGACGAAACTTAACGTAAAGCACTAAAAATCTTAATGCTTAAGCTCACTGAACAATACATCTTGTATTCTAGCTTCAACACGCGACTGACAAATGCTAATGTTCAAGCTGTACACACAGAATCACACAGCTCTTTCCAGCTTCCACAATCCGCATATGTTATCTTAATTCTTATCAGCCCTTATCTGAGCATACTAAACTATGAGCGACCCTAATTATATTTAGAGAATGGCAAACTGCTCAAATAATGATCCTTATCTCAACATACGACTGAAGATAAAGCTAATATTGGAGCTGTAGAGCATGCAGTCAGTGAATCACGTAGCTCCTGTACAACAGACCTACTAAACTACCGTTACTTGAAGTGCCTCTAACTGTAACTATAACCCAGTATAACGATTAGTATTGTGATGAGTATGTTAAGTATGATATGTAAAGCAAATCAGAGAGGAGGTCATTGGTTGAAGTGAGACTAGGAGTTAGAGTGCAGTCTTTATAATGTACAGGGGAGTGTTCCTGTGTGGTGTTTTCAGATAGTAGCTAGACGGTACGTGATCAGATTATAGGCAATATATAGCTGAATTTCTGTGGAAGTGAGAGAAGTAAGAATTGTCAGTGTGTTTCATCAATCATCAACAAGGTGCTCGACTAGTGAAGCAAAAAGCAAAAAGATAGTGTTTATCTTTTTGCAAGACTTTACTCTTACACCGACCACTTTGTCATCACAGAATAAAATAGAAATAAGCATAACAATATGGAATCGGTGGAATAGAATTGGAAGAGTCATGTTTTATTTACATTTATTTAAGGGGAGGGGGGGGGGGGGGGGGGGTTCACCCTGATTTTTGTGTGAAACTTGGTTTCGAGATAGCAGTTGACCAACAAACTAGGACCGGTGGCCGAACTTTTGAGGGGGTCCCGGACCCCAACCGCCAAACGGCGCCCGCGGGGCAGCCACGCCCATATTTGGTCCAAATCAGGCCCAATTTAGCCAAATACCCTGAACATGCCCAAAACCCAGATTTTAGGTGGTCTACTTGTAGCTAGTGGTCCCTTGAACTCGTATATGAATTGTCATCACGATTGGACAAAATATGGGCATATAGTTTTTAGCTCATAACTCAGTCATGTTCAGGGCCTGATTTGGACCAAATATGGGCGTGGCTGCCCCGCGGGCACCGTTTGGCGGTTGGGGTCCGGGACACCCTCAAAAGTTCGGTCACCGGTCCTAGTTTGTTGGTCAACTGCTATATCGAAACCAAGTTTCACAAAAAAATCAGGATGAACCCCCCTATAATTTATGAGTAAATTATTGGTTGTAGGAGAATAAAATATAATACAGATAATAATGTAATATAATTTGATGGTGCAGTTTTTGTTAACAGACTCGTATCACCAATGTTCAAAGATCGATTAATTCTTGTTATGCTTAAGATTGTACATATACAATATACATAAAACAATGTGAAGGCCGTTTGGCGTTTGTGTTTGATCGTTCTCAAGCGCAAAATAATACAGAGAGTGAAATCGAACGCTCGATTATCCTATTTATTTACGTGACCTGCTAACGTGACCTAGCTATTGCGTGACCTGTTAACGTGACCTATCTAGATTATGACCTAGCTAGAACGTGGATATGCCAAGACTGAGAAAAATAAATAAATCGTGAATTATTAATTGTTGGCTGCGGTCACATTTTGAAATATTATGAATTTTATTTAAAAATTAAAGGCACTCAAAATTCAGCATGCACTCGATCGAGGGAAATACAATTTTTAATTTTAGACTAGTTTAATGATTTAATTTCAATTCTTTGTCTTTGAAACGTGATTGCATGATATTATATTAAAAGCTGTGGTTTACATTTTCTACCACTCAAAAATCTACAAAGAAAAGATTTCTTTAAATTGGGATTGATCTATCATTTGTATTCACAAACTACAATTATTAAAAACATTCTTCAAAGCGACCACACGGTTTTAAAACTATCGACAGTTATATTGTAATTACATTCAGTTCATGATACGATCATCATCAAGGTGTCAGCCATTTGAACTTGATATTTAAATTGATGAAAGATTTTACAAGAAGTATAATAAAAACTCTAGCTCTTAAATCTTCAGCCAGACAGCCAAGATAAGTCTTCATATTATTAAATTAATTCAGACGTTTATGATGACAGGATCAATGATCATGGTATATAGTCGAACGATTGTTTTTTTCGGTTTGTTTCGCAAAAAACATTCAACTTCAAATAATTGAATAACTGTCTTCAATATCGCATTCTTTATCAGAAAATTCCCACGCTTCAGTTCCGTCAAGATGACCATGGTATAACTTAGGTTCATTCAGTTATCTGGTTCTTGCATCGACACCAAAACAGTGACTCAACGATGTAAAACGGTTTTAACAATTCCGTTTCCCATTTTTGATACAAAAACGCTCACAAACAGGTAGATTTCCAACGAGATAATGATTGCAGAATTTTAGAGCAACAACCGTAGTGAAAAAGGTTAAACAATGCTACGTGCTGGTCCAAATGTTTCCACTCTGTTAGTGCAACTCGTCTGCATGGCATTATCCATGATTTTTGGCCTGTGTTTTCAATTATTTTCAATCGAGACATTATTTTCCTCAACTAAAAGCTGATCACACGGTCTTTAAAAAAGAATCACTCGAAACCTGCTTCCTCTGACTAAACTCATGAAACTTCAAAAGTATCATCTTTCGATAAAGCACTACATTGATATCTAAGATTGTCGGATAATTGTCCTCTCATTCTCCCTGTCCTCCCTGTGATATGATGGGAAGGGAAATACCGACTGGTTGAGGTAGGGCTGCACCCTGACTTGGTAGTTTGAAACTTCGCATACCCATCTTCCATTTGTTTCTGAAATGTTGGTTGGAATGTTTATTAATATTGCTTTGAACCCTCAACCCACATAGAAGCAAGGCATTGGACACCATCGGACTTTACTTGAGAGATTATGAGCAGTCTGAATCATGGACGAAAAAGTTCAGAGTTGTTTAAAACAGGGCTGTGAAATACCAATACGTGTTTTACGTTTTTTTGAATTGGAGCGTTTTTACGTTTTTTTAACAGGTTTTTGCGTATTTATTTAAAAAACGTTATTATTTGTACGGAAATTTACAATGTTTTGACGGTCACCGACTACCAGTAAACGAACCAGCGAAGTACGAACACTGAGGCCTGGGCCACAATCACATAAGCAGATTGCAGTCTTCAGTTACACTGCAGTACACTTACATTCCTATTATAACTGCAAAGTATCGAAACGAGCCATCACATATCCTCATTACTCACTTTATTATTGTAGTTAAGCGAACATTCCAGACTCTGCTATATCATACCGTCAGATTATATGTGTAGCAGCTAAGCAAACGTGCGAGATAACGCTAATTCTATAACTTAAATGATAAATTAGCGCATATTAAGATGTTTCATATTTGATATTTTCAGAAAGCATAACCGAAACTCTATTTAACATCTGATGTTGCTCTCTTAGTAGGTGGCATGGTCATAATCTCATTTCTTGCTTACTGAATGAAAGATGAAACTGCAGCTGATTCCCACCCCTCTTAGTTATTCGTGTTACATGTACAGCAACTTAGAAAGCAAGAGTATTCAACAGTCAACACAACTGGCAAGTTTGATTGGTCATATACCGCTACATTTTGAATTTTCACGTGAGTCGGCTTGATTAGATTATGCGAACGTTTTTCTCGTTTTTTGAACGTTTTTTGAAAAAGATAGAAAAAATCACGTTTTTAACGTTTTTGAGTTTACCATTTATGTTTTTCACAACCCTGGTTTAAAAAACGTAGTATCAAGACATTGACAACAGCATATAATACCGATAGAATATTAATAATCTGAAGGGCTTTTTAGTATTTCTTTGGTGAAAATTAGCGACAAGAATTTGTAATTGTGCGGAGTCGAAGACAGAGACATGACAATTTAGAAGTGCTAAAGTCGATGGCGTTTTAAAAGTTTTAGAGGTTTCACATGCTCGAAGTTTGGCAATGTGTGTATATCACTGTATATAATAGTATAATAGCTCAGCAGGTACGAGAAAGTTAACAAGCAATACCTCCAAACCGAGGAATCTATAAAGGTATCACAATAAAAGAAGGGTGCGTACTTGAAGTAATAAACTGTTTTATATGCCCAGAGTTTATGCCCTCAGATTTAGCCAGAGTAAAAGTTCAAAATTGTAAGATTGATATGTTTGGTCAATGGTGATTCATTATAAACGGTGTAGTAGCGTGATTTATGTTGTAATGATTGCAGAGAAGGAGCGAAATTAGGGGATCTGGTCAATCCAACAAAGCAATTAGATGGAAAAAAGAAGTAAGAAAGCTTTCTTCCCGGTTATTTTAGGCAGTTCATGGTTATGCTGGTGAATACTGAATACCCACAACAGAGATGAGTTTTTAGCACGACTTTTCATCAAACGATATTCCCAAATTCACCCTTGGCAAGATTTCTACCCTCGAACTTCTTCGACGGACGGTATTATGTTCCAAACCGGCTTTTCTGAGCGAGGGTGAAGTGTTTAATAAGTTAATTAGTTAATTAGTTAATTTAGCAACACTTTTACCAGTAGCTTAAACAATAAAAACATTTAAAGGCTTAGCTTATCAAGGATTACCCGATCAAAATTAGGGTGGTATATAAGTATAACATATCACAAGCTGATATACGAGGCAGCAGAATAAAATGACGTGGTAGTTGAAGGAACTGGATTATTTTACTGTTTTGTTATAATTTAATTTTAGAAAAATTCAAAAATTGAGGAGGGATCATTTGAAATGAAAAATGTTTTAAAGAAAGGCAATGGACTGAGCTACATTTTATTACTTATAAATAAGAGCAAGTGCCAAACTTTATATGAGAAATTTCCAACTTTAATGGCTTGGCAATTGGTATTTAGCAAATTATTTTTGATGACAATTTATCTTTTGTGCAAAGTTGACAATTCCAATAGTCGTACATTTACATTTTTGCATTCATAAAAAGATGAACTGTACTGTTTTTAATTTTGAATGACATGCTTTACCACGAAACGAAGAATACCTAATTTGAACACGTTTGGATACGTTATCCATAAGAGTCTCAATATAAGCATTTCGTCTTTCATCCAATCGCTCGGGATCTGTTCGAAGATATTTGCAGTTGCAAAGTGATGCAAACGACCGTAGGATTTTCAACTGAAAAAGAGTTGGAATTATGTCTTTCAGTTGTGGTAATATTTTCGTTTTCTGTTTATATACGAATTTTAGATATGATCACATGCAAGACCTGGCAGCCGTCCAACTCCAATAAAACTGAAGACCTGGCAGCCGTCCAACTCCAATTAAACTGAAGACCTGCTAGCCGTCCAACTTCAATAAAACTGAAGACCTGGCAGCCGTCCAACTCCAATAAAACTGTATTCTATGGACTGTTGCTATTCGTAGCAGCGATATTTGTAATCTTGATTAAAATTGAGCAGTCAGCATCTTATCGTTATTATAAATATCTTTAATATAAGTATCATGTGCGAATCAATGTATCACTCATCATGGTGAAAAGTAACACCTGTTTGTTAAATTGTAGGCGTGGCTCTGTTATAAATCTACCGCTGGCCGCAGAAAAAGCGGAAATCATGGACACTGTCCATGATTGCCACTGTAAATTTTACAACTCGTATTAAATTTAATATCAGGAACATTATAATACTCAGTCCTACAAACAAAGACATAATGAATAATTATGTAAATATTTTTATAAGAAATGTGTTACCTCTTCAATAAACCTAGTACCCTCGCCACTTTGATGGATTATCTGAGCTATGTTCTTAGCTCCTTGATCCTTAGCTTTCTTAGTTGGTCTTATCGTCTCTGCTCTCACCTTAGAAACCTTGTCAGCAATGTGCTTCGTCTTCGAGTTCAGCTGCATCTCTGAAATAATTAAGTAGTGTAATATTATTATAGATTTCTGTATAAACATTAAACATGTGCTACCAATCAAACTTGTATATTCTTGGTAGTTCTTTGTACCAGTAGTGTGACTATTATACTGGAAATTGCCTTCTACGTATACCATTAAAAGATTAAGCAAGAAAAACGAATATGAAACAAAACTCTACCGATATGAATTAAATTGTAAAAGCAAAAGCTTACCGATAATTGATTCAGTTCCAGTGTAAGCGACCTGCTTGTTCTGTTTAGAAGGCATCTTGGTCATAGCCTGACTGAACTCCATATCTCCTGCACTGCTGGCAAGCCCCTGTTGGAACCTGGGAGGGTATCACGTTACAACGTTACCACAAAAAATGAAGTCAGTATTGTAAGTCAAAGATAGGGGTGACTCTAGCAAGCTAGTGGACAAGGGGCCCCTCTCTATTCTTTCGTGGTACGGCTAGAGCCCTTTCGGTACAGACATCACTGAATCACCGTCGGGACGCAACGCCAGGCATATGCACTCGTGTTATTTTCGCAGCTCTAATGAGAGATACTATCATTCACAGGTAAGTGACGGCTGCCCTTCAGCTTTGAGATCTTAGGCCCGTCCGGAACTCAAAATCGCTAGAAAAAGTTATTATAACCAACTGCACCCAACTGCACCACTGACTCACTGAGCTACAATAAAATGACAGTTTGCAATACACTATTATTTCTTTTTAAATCCCCATAATCATATCTTACTTTTTAGGGTTGATCTTCTTCCTGTAGTTAGCAGTGAGTTCGTCCTCGTCCATGATGAAGTCAGGACTAAAGAGACCACTCTGTATGGGTGAGAGAGCTACAGGGGAGTAAAGGGAGTCACCCCTCTTCTCACGTTCTCTCCAGTTCGTATGGTAAGGCGGCTGTAATAGTGGCAAATAAAAGTAAAATTTTTGAATTTCATGAAAACAGAGTTTTGGAATTTTTGATTTTATATATTTTGTGATATTTTGAATTTTTTTGATTTTTTGACGTTTTTTACATTTGTTTGTCATTCTCGCTGCAGGAGAAAGTATGAATTTGCCTTACCTTGGGTCTAATAGACTCCTCCATGAACGATTCAGCTCTGCTGTCAATTTGTTCCACAGTGTTGTCTCTAGTACTGAGTTCCACATCACTGTAGAGTGTTGGCATACTGTAACAGTGCAGGGTTAGTAACAGTTGCATGCTATCATTTACTGCATAGAAACAGTGTGGTGTCAGCTGCATGTTATTGCAATTTACTTGTGCATGTTCAAATTTATATCGGTGCCTTGCAAGTGCAAGATTTCATTAGTACCTGAGAGCAGACGTTGAATGGATGATTTATGTCAGGTCTGGATAGTGGATATGTTGAGATTGAAAGATTAGATATTATACTCCGATTACAAAACTATAGCATTGTATTCCGAATGTGGTGATCATTTGCAAAAATCTGCCTTTTAAGTTCATCAAATTGGTTGAGAAAATCCCGTTTGGCCGGAAAAATTCGTGTGCTCTGCAGTATTATAAAGGTCGTAAAGGCAAGCTGTGTTTATGATTACTATCAACCAATCAAATGATTGATAATTTACTTATAATACCTATTAATGCTTTTCATGCAAACAAGTTAAAACGAATCTTTTATGTCATGCATCCTGGGTTTGGACAGGATATGCCCGCTTAAAATACTTCCATATTATGTATTATCGATGTTGTATAAATACAAATAAAAGCATGATATTTATGTCCGATAAGGTTAAATGGTGTGTAAATGAATATGAAACTACTTTCAACACTACTGTATATAACAAATAATTTAAAAAAGCGATGAAACAGAGCCAATAAATCAAATGTTGCCATGCCGACCTGGCAAGTCCCTATTCATTAATTCATTGTAGCCCGCTAGTTACACAGCCTCTCAATATGAGTATATTCGAGTACTATTCAAATCATATTATGTAATTGAATAATTTTAGTGATTTAATACGTACAACGGAATTTTCTCGTCTTTCATTTTAGTATGAGGCAATGATGATTGATGATTGATGAATAAATAAAATAGTTTTGTTGTAGACCCTGGTCATTAGAAACACCCCTAAAGGTTCTTGCTGTGACAATCTTCTAAAGTTAAATTGGGAAAACGTGGTCCATCTCGTGCGAACTTTCCTAATGAAATAATGACCAGGGTCTGTAATAGTATACCATTTAATTCAACATCGTGGAGGGGCGGCAATATGCGTGTAATGTATATATAAATTATATATCATGAAATCCTGATTTATCATGATAATTTTATAGGTTTGTTGTATGAGCTGATACGTTTGTTTTCCTTATCGTTTTAATTTGAATAATCTGTTGCAGTAATACTGTAAAGTAATTCTTCAGACACTCAAAAACTACTTTAAACTTATTTTTGCATATCCTTGATGCTTCATAGTGAACAGTTTCCCCATGACGACGGAATAAGATTAAGTCGGTTTAAGTTTAGATATATAGTTTCAAAACAATCGAATTATTCAATCGATAAAGTCAGCGTCCAGTGGGTATTTATTTAACGCAGAAATATAGCCAGCAGGTATATTTGTCTATTTGTATCAATCCCGGCTTTTCCCGGCTATTGTCACTCAAATACCGGACGAATCCATATTATATATCGCAGCCCGCTATTTAAATTTTAAACTGCCTCTCAGTATGAGTATATTCAAGAACTTTTCAAACCATCAGGTCATTCAATAATTTTAGTGACTTAATGTGTTGAAAAGAATATTCCCGCCAAATCGTTGTTTGAATGGGGGGAAATTTTGAAAACTAGCAAAATTGCGCGTTCTGCTCGTGAAACTCACCTTTTTTAAACATGCAACGTTACACCAGTCTCCACTGGTATGTGCTGTGTGTATATTATGAAATCCTTATTTACCATAATAATTTTATAGGTTTGCTGTCTAAACTGGTAAATTTGGTGTCCTTAGGCTTATCGTTTTTCTGTGCCCTAACTTGTTAATTTGTTTAAGTAATACTGTATAATAGCATTTCTTCAGACACTCAAAAACTATTTTAAACTGCCGTTTTTTGCATAGCGAAGAAATTTAACCTGACTTTCTTATCGCCTAGAAACTTGTTTTAATGTTTCAATGCATATCCTTAAAGCTTCGTAGCGTTTATATATTAGTCAAGTATTAGTAGTCGAAATTTAATTCCAATATTTCTTAATTACTAATTTTCGTTAAGTACTTCATTAGAAATATGTACCTTCAGTACTCAGTAGAGCTATAATTCAGCTAAATTTATACATTCTGGGTAAAAATTATCTTTATCCCGGTTGTTGCGACAAGTAAAAATGCGCGTATTAGGGAAAGGAGATTACTCGACGTTTCAATGTAACTACATCGTATTCATGATCTCAAATTATTTGTTATATAGTAGTGTGTAGTTTTGTTACGCGTTGATTATTGAGCTCTCTTATCTCATCTCTTATCGCTACAATTTAACGACGACTTAGCTGCTAGTTTGTGTCTGGTGCTATACAATTCTGAGTACATTATGGGAAATGTGGACTTTCACTCTACAATGTGGTCATGTAAATATATGGACATGTTTGCTGATTCTGCTAATGATCTTGGTTGTTGGGCAGAGGAAGTGATGAAGACAATAAACTGTGATGAAGATAGTCATATTACATTAGACAAGTTCAAGAAACCAAACAAGGACGTTGTGGTAAAGCACCTTTTTGATGCCTTTAAGGGAATTGTTGGATATAAGGAATGCTTTCGAAAAGCGACAATAAGACTGGAGGAAATGAGAAGCGACATGATTAATACTCAGAAATCAGTTATTCAGTTGCAAGGGGAACTCTTGGACATAAAGACTAAAGAGCTAGATTCAGTCCAGAGAACTGTTAAAACCGCTGTAGAAAATACTGTTCAAGCTGAGATTAAGTCTTACAGTGCTGCTGTGTCAAAACATTCCCACAGCTCTGCCTCCACTTTCACGGCAGAGAACTTTAAGAAAGTAGTTCAGAATGTGGTAGCTGAAGAGGATCGCAGCAGAAATGTGTTGATTTTTGGTCTCAAGGAGGATGCAGGTGAGAAACTTGCTGATAAAATTTGCGACGTGTTTGAACAAATGGCAGAGAAGCCACGTTTTGAAGCTGCTCGAATTGGGAATAAAGCTGGTGACAAACATAGAGCTGTTAAAGTATCATTTGGAAGTTCCAGCACCGTTCATCAGATACTGATCAAAGCTAAAGAACTTAGACTGTCTCAGTGTTTCAAAACTGTCTTTATTTCACCGGATCGGTCGCCGGAGGAGCGTGCAGTACATAAACAGCTGGTTCTAGATTTGAAGAAGAAGGTCACGGAAAATCCTAATAAACGTTATTTTATCAGGACTGGTAAAATTTGTGAGATAGATGAGTGAGATATAATAGTTTATTTCTTATTCAATAATATAGATATTACATATTTCTTAAGCCATTTTACACTTTACATTTAATGGGAATATACATGCATTCTGGAGTTTAAATTATTACTTTTGTCACCACGCCAGCCGCTTTGAAGTCGGCAATTTTTTATTTTAATAATATTGGTTGTTGATATAAGCGGGATATAAATGCTTTATTTCATTTCATTTCATTTCATTTCATTTCATTTCATTTCATTTCATTTCATTTCATTTCATTTCATTTCATTTCATTTCATTTCATTTCATTTCATTTCATTTCATTTCATTTCATTTCATTTCATTTCATTTCATTTCATTTCATTTCATTTCATTTCATTTCATTTCATTTCATTTCATTTCATTTCATTTCATTTCATTTCATTTCATTTCATTTCATTTCATTTCATTTCATTTCATTTCATTTCATTTCATTTCATTTCATTTCATTTCATTTCATTTCATTTCATTTCATTTCATTTCATTTCATTTCATTTCATTTCATTTCATTTCATTTCATTTCATTTCATTTCATTTCATTTCATTTCATTTCATTTCATTTCATTTCATTTCATTTCATTTCATTTCATTTCATTTCATTTCATTTCATTTCATTTCATTTCATTTCATTTCATTTCATTTCATTTCATTTCATTTCATTTCATTTCATTTCATTTCATTTCATTTCATTTCATTTCATTTCATTTCATTTCATTTCATTTCATTTCATTTCATTTCATTTCATTTCATTTCATTTCATTTCATTTCATTTCATTTCATTTCATGTCATTTCATGTCATGTCATTTCATTTCATTTCATTTCATTTCATTTCATTTCATTTCATTTCATTTCATTTCATTTCATTTCATTTCATTTCATTTCATTTCATTTCATTTCATTTCATTTCATTTCATTTCATTTCATTTCATTTCATTTCTCAGTTATTTAGAATATATATTCGCATTTATCCACACTATATTTACATTACACGTACAACGCGATATCGTTATCAGTGCAGTGTGTACAACACCAACTACACCGATTAATTGCCAATATGCGAAACATTTAATTATTATTATCACTTCACTGGCCATCATTTCATTTCATTTCATTTCATTTCATTTCATTTCATAGTGTTGAAAGTATTATTTTAATACTTTCAACACTACTATATAACAAATAATTCATGAATACGATGTAGTTACATTGAAACGTCGAGTAATCTCCTTTCCCTAATAAGAGCATTTTTACTTGTCGCAACAACCGGGATAAAGATAATTTTTACCCAGAATACATTACAACAATGCGACTCATAAATAATACTCCAATCCGGATTTTACATAAATTTATACAATCCTTATTAGATGATAAGACGGCAAACTAATCAATTGTTGAGCTAAATCGGATGGGATCTGTCTATCTCGGGGCCCTTCCCGGCTATTGTCACTTAAACACCTTGTCATTAAAGCTGAATTTATACTATTCCTAGATGATAAATGACTGTAGAGCTCATTCATATGGGTGCTCTGAAAACCACTCCAGACATTTTTGTCGACTGTGTGATGTGAATGACTCGGATCATCTCTCCAGAAACTGTCCTCAAGCAAGTACGCTATATCATGGAACTACAGCTGATGCAGCGATAAATATTACAGAGGAGGGACTGAAGTGTAGTCCAAATGGCAGGTTAGGTCGAGGGATATACTTTGTTGAAAATCGTGATGATGCTCTAAAAATAGCTCGCAGCAGAAATCCCAACAATTGGGCTGTGTTACAGTGTAGAGTTAATCTAGGGCCTCCCATAGCGGGAAATCAATCTCCTGATACAATTAAAAGGTTACATGGAACAGTTGGTGTTCATCCTCCATGGGCAGGCATTACAGCCGACTTTATGGAATACTGCTTAACAAACGAAAAAAAGTGCAATGTGGTTGAAAAAATCTCTGAAGGCGGAGAATTCATCATCAGGAACAAAGTAGCTATTCCCAAAGAAACTGATCAAATGTTACAAGCCAGAGATTTTCCAGCAAGACAACCTGCAGCAGCACCACAGCAAGTGAGGCAACCCACATTTGTAGCGGCAAGACAGCCTGCAGCTGTGCAATGGCAAATGAGGCAACCCCCAGCGCCATGGCAAATCCAAGCAGCTCCAAGACGACCTTTTAGTGATATTTGCACCCATATACAGCACTGCTTAACAAACTTTATTGTAAACTGTAGGAAAGCTGTGACTGGAATCTGCCTACAGATACTAATCTGTTTAGAGTGTTTGGCTGTGAACTGTGGAAAATGTCTCGTATGCTTATGCAAATGGAAAACTTTAAAACATTTTCCCAGTATTTTAATCTTGCTCAGCTTCCTCCCGAATCTCGCGAATGCGATTTACTGCATCGTTTTGCATGAGCCTGGTAAGCTTAAAAATGAAACGCTTAAAAATGAAACGCTTAAAAATGAAACGGTCGAGACTGTTCTTAGAAATATCCAGAACAGCTTTATTTCATTCTCTGTGTTATTTGTTTTACACTCTATAGGCAACATCCTACTTCTAGGCACGTGTTTGTTTACAGACAAGTGGAAGGTTATGAAAACTTGCAGCGTGATATCCTTAAAACTCGGAAAATATTTTCTGCTGGATATGCCGATGTACGTGTTACATGTATGTTTGATAAAATCAGAGATGAAGTTCATAGGAAATGAGGATTGGGATCCATACTTCTGGGATCTACTACTGCAGCTGGGATTCTTCATAGAAACGATTATAATAATTGTGATCCTGATCACGACCCAAGCAACTCGTAGATACAAAATGATTGCTTTTATGATAATGTTTTTGTTGTCATTTTACGCTCCCATGTGGCTGGCAATGAGTAAACCTTTCAGTAAAGAACTTTTCTCTACTGATCCTTCTGATTTAGGACAAAACAAAACAGGAAAATTCACCGAGGGAGGACGTTCTCATAAAATACTGATATTTTTATGTTTTACAGGGGTTGCGAACTTGTATGGTTTTATAACAGTTAGTGTCCTTATAGGATTCGGTATTGTTCTATGCATATTGGGTTGTTACTGTAACTGCGGAGATGGATAAGATAACTATAAAGATCTTATCAACACATAAGACCGGTTCCGAACCCGCATCGACCGTTTGTTTTTGTAAAGCTCTTAAAATGTCTTTCTTTACAATTACAATAAACGACGTAGTTATTAACTTTTAGCAATTAGCATACTTATAGTTTCATCTCAAGAGATGTATTTTGATAAAGTTTATCTTTCTAAAAGCGTCTAATTGATATTTAATTTGCAACTCGACTAATGCGGGTAATGCCAAAAAAATATGATGAGGTATGGAAATATTATATGGCATGATATGGCATGTGCAATAAATTCATAAAGTTTCATCATAATAAATTCAACATTTGGGCTAAATTTGGAGTAAATATTTACTTAGATTTCATTAAAGTTAAACTGTTTGATCGATCTCACTTACTCACATTCTTTTATTTTTCATGTTAATGAGGTGGTATGATTCACTTTCTTTTGTAATTCCTATTTCTTCTTCCGTGTTTACACGTTATCACTGGTTGTTTATTTATAATTTACGTGTTTATTCATGTCGATTGTTTACTTTACTGTAGTAGTATATCATTGTTATCTGAAAGCAGACACTAAATGAATGATGTCAGGTATGCATATGTGTTCACATTAAAACATGGCAAACATTTTAATATGACTTAATAAATGAGATTAGTTGTTTGTATGGCATAAATCTATATTCCAATTGACATTTGTTATCTATTTCATTGAGGTGGTATGCATGTACAGTAAAACCCTGATTTACCACGCCCTGATTTACCGCGGGTAATTGAAATTCCGTTTCCCCCAAATTTTCCTTTAAAACGTTACCATTATCTTGAATTACGAAATTTGATACAAGCTGGGTAAGTAAAGATGTTACATTTCACTTTTCCTTACTGTATTATGCAATCCTGAATATATCATAATTACTTTGTCTGGACTGGTACAACGTTCGTTTGTCCTTACCCTATTTCTGTGCAGTGGAATTTTTTATTTTACTAATACGTAATAAGTTTTACTCCCCTCTCCGAATAATATAAATTGTTTTTTAGCCTGCGAAAAAAAATAACTTACTTAACCAAGAACAAACGGTTTTTGTCGTTTGATGTTTTTTCGTTTTGATGTTTCATAACTTTAAAAATATTTCAAGTCGAATAATTAATTCCTTTGTTACCTTAAGGCTTAAGTAACGAAGTTATTTGGGAGGTCGTCATGCTTATAACCATGGTCTTGCTAGTTTTATGATAACTTGGCTGAATGTCCCAAGATGATTACAGATCACAGAGTCTTCCAATGCAAAGCTAAGTCGGATGGCTGCATAGAAAATCACCGTAAACATTTCTGTCGACTGTGTGATGAGGATAATTCAGATCATCTTTCCAGAAACTGTCCTCAAGCAAGCACACTGTTTCATGGAACTACAGCGGATGCAGTGAAAAATATCACAGAGGAGGGACTGAAGTGTAGTCCACAAGGTTGTTTAGGTCGAGGAATATACTTCGTTGATAATCGTGAATATGCTCTAACAATAGCTCGTGGCAGAAACCCCAACAATTGGGCTGTGTTGCAGTGTAAAGTTAATCTAGGGCCTCCCATAGCGGGAAATAAATCTCCTGATACAATTAAAAGGTTACATGGAACAGTTGGTGTTCATCCTCCATGGGCAGGCATTACAACCGACTTTATGGAATACTGCTTAAAAAATGAAAATAGGTGCAATGTGGTTGCAGAAATTTCTAGAAACGGAAAATTTATCATTCCAATACAACCTACAGCAGTGGCAAAACAACCCACAGTGGTGCCAAAACAACTCGCGGTAGTGCCAAAACAACCTGCATTTGTGCCAAAACAACCCGCATTTTTGCCAAAAAAACCTGCAGTAATGCCCAAACAACCCGCAGGACAACTCGCAGCAGTTCTAAAGCAACTTGCAGTAGTTCAAGGACAACCTGCAGCAGTCCCAAAACAACCCACAGTATTTACAGGACAACCCGCATCGACCCACAAAGCCTCTGTAAGTGTAAAAGAGCGAATTGCCATATTGAACAAGACAGCTGATGGTAACAACTAACAATGCAAAAATGAAATAGACCAGTCTTCTTAGATGAATTTTAAAATAACCTCAAAGATCTCACAGTGAAACCTAAATTTCCTATCATTGCGGGAGATTTCAACTCAAAAAAAAAGGACAGTATTAAAAAATTGTGTTTTCTTATAGAGAATGAAGGAAAAGATACCCCTGTATGTACTTTTGATCAAATCAGAGATGATTTTCTTGAGAACCAAGAATTGGGATACGTCCTTTTTGGAATTATTACTGCAGCTGGGATTCATCATCGAAACAATAATTTTCATTCTGATCACGACCCAAGCAACTCGTAGACACAGGATCAGTGGCGTAACGAAAGGCCCTGCTGACCCCGCTGTGCAGGGGGGCGCCGTCTTAGGGGGGCGCCAAATCGTCGTTTGAATGTGGGACAATTTCGAAAACTTAACTAAAGTACTAGCAAAACTGCGCGTTTTGCTCTAGATACACACTTTTTTAGAGATTTTACCGGCGTATTCTTTAAAATCACCTAATTTGTTCAATTTTAGGGAGGGGCACCAAAAGGGGAGGGGGCGCCAACAGGGGGGCGCATTTTTCGCCAACAGGCAACGTTACGCCACTGCACAGGATTATTCCATTTATGATTATTTTGTTACTTATTGTTGTTATTTTACGCTTCTATGTGGATGTCAATGAGTAAACTTGTCAGTATCTGTCCATTTTTCTGATTTAGGAACATTCAGGGAGGATGTTCTCATAACATTTTGATATTTCTATGTTTTATAGGGACTGTGCACTAATTGTTTGTAATTATAACTTGTTTGTAATTATTACTTGTTTGCTATTGCAGAAGTTAATTACCCTTATTATACACATACTGTTTAGTTTCATTTCACATGAGATGTATTTTTCCCCTACTCTTGCCGAAGGCAAAAATATCGTAGGGAATAAGTAATCGGGTTTGGATATATGAGGTGGCCCGACGGTCCTACGATGTCGACAAAAGTCTGCTCCTTCGCAATATAGACCACTCCCCTATATTCTATAATTAAGTGTATAGGAAGCGTATGTTATGCTGCGCGCGACGCTAGCCATGTGTTAATTAATTACGGTGAAATTCCTCCTTCGCAAAGTTATTTTCCGCAATTTTCTGCATTTATTAAATGTTGATGCGCGGCGCTGCATTGGTGAAATAAATCGTCAATTTTTACCATGCACAAATCCTACTCATTTATAAAAAACCATTGCATAGTATGTAAATATGTTGCACTTTTTTCCAGTCACACTTTTCACTCAAAAGAATTGATGGTACAAGTACATCGTAGGGAAAATTGATCGTGCGTGGTTTAACCGCGGCGAAATTCTTGTTAATGTCAATTTGCAACTTGAAATATGATGAGGTTCAACAAGAAACATGATGATGCTTTAAAAGTAAATACGTGACACGGCATACGATATGCTGGGAAATTTACTGTAGGAACTAATATACAGCACCTGGGAGCACGTTTCTGAGCTTGGCACAGAATAGAGTTCAGTCACAGTACCCAATCTCTGTATCAGAGACGTTTCACGTTAGCTATAAAGGGGGAGACAGCTTCCATTCGACTACGAAATTAATGCTAGATTACCCCACAAACGAACAAACAAACAAACAATCACCTGGGTATGACATCATAAGAGATCCTCCTCTGTCTAGGTTTGTTGCCAGGGGAGGAGTTGTTTGTGATAACAGGTTGACTGGCACACCTCCTCACACTACCTGCTCCTCCGTACCCTTTCAGTTCACTGTCGTCTTTAGAGGTTACTGCGAGGTTTTTGCATAGTTAGGAATGTATTATTGGGAGAAGAACATAGTGAGCGTCGTCCAGCCCCAGGAATTTGTACCCAATAGCCACAGTGAGCTCGTGCCCCAGAGCATCGAAAATACTCGAAATACTCGAGCTTCTAATTCATCTATTGCAATGGTATTCGTGTTGTTTTCGGGCGCACTGATCTGCGAAACAAAGTACTGGGGCCCGACGTCACTGCATGGCTGAAAATCTGAGACAAAGGGGTCTGGGGTAAACGGTTCAGCAGCAGGAAGAGGTGAATACTAGATACATTTTAGTATTATCAACGGGAATTCGCTACAATTAAATTCTTTAAAGAATGTATGAGCTTGATCGTCTGTTTGGTGCTGGTTATGTTGTTGGACCACGGGACTTGTCTGCAGGGTGTATGTCCCCTTAAGCTATATTTACTTTACTATATGACATGGGATACCATTAATAATCATGCATATCTAGAGTCTAGACTCACTCTTGCCGTTTCCGATGCTGGGAAACCTATTGATGGTCTGCAGCTCCGCAGGGGCCTCCAAAGCCTGACCCCTTTTAAACCTACTCCCGAACAACACAGGACTTTTCTTTTCACTGACTGGCTCTGGGGAACCTTGCTCACTGGTCTCCTTCTTCACTGAAAATAAGGTCTTGGATGTGATATTTTGTTAAGGAGTTTTGAGCGTCATAGGCGTCTAGCATTCTCTTTGAGACCCAATAAAATATATACCATATAATACATATACATGCATAAAGTATATATGGAGACTAGAATATTGTTGATCATCCTTAAATTATAAATGTCGTTTAATGATTTGTTGAAAACGAATTACCACTTTCTCGATCTGTGGGCTGTTGTTATGGCCTTAAAAAATCTGAAAACTTAAGAAAAACTTATGAAAACCTTAAGAAAAACTCAAAAAAAAACTCAAAAAAAACCTAACAGTGAATTGACTAATTAAATATTTAATTGATCGCAAATAATCACAAATTAAACCTGGTTCCTTGTTCTGTCCCTGCATGATATATTTCCACTGGGGGTTCTTCTCAAAGTCTATCATATTAGACATATTATTAAGCTCATCTAACAGGTTATTCATGCTCTCTGTCTTCTTGTCCCCGGAGGTAGTATCTGAGGCTTGGTCCCCATCCTGGTGTAATACAACAATCAATCACTTTGACAGCACAATCAAGATTGCAACTTTCGATTGTATTAAATCATATATAATACTTTTGTAAATAAACTATGCACCAAATTATGAATAACAATATTTGTTTAAAGTGGTGAGTAGTGCTCATGGTATAATATTGTGTAGAAATTTCAAATTGAACAAAGAATAAAATAAATAAATAAAATAAGGGACATAATGTGAACCTGATTTGAAGTGTTAGAAGCTGACTTGTTGTCGTTCCTCCCTCCAACTGCACTAGCATTGTCACTATCATCTGAGTCCTCTACCTGAGGGAGAACATACGTGACAACAGTGTCATTATACTGGATAGTTACCTTAACCGAGGACGATTAACACAAGTCGTTTGAAAGGTTCTGTAGCAACATCCAAATATATTATTCAAATGTTTGACGCCCCCTACCACTACCAGAACTACGTAAGTGGGTATTATTTTGAATTACTTATTAATTAAAAAAATTACTTTGAATTTTGCGAACAGCATTGTGAGGCGCTTGTTTTCTTTAACCTTCTGAACTCTCTCTACAAACAGCTCCAACTCCCTGGCCTCCAAAGAGTAACGCTTTAGCTCTGAAATATATCATAGAGAGAAAAAGCACAATGGCTGTAAATTATTAACATGGAGTAACATTTTGGCTCTGAAATAAATAGAGTATGAGGATTGAGGACCAATCATGAATGGATATTAACAGTAGAAAGTTATTGAACTCTATGAGCTATCTAATAAAGGCAGTTTCTCAATTTCAATCACAACATTTCCCTCTGATTTAAGTAAGTTACCAATGTGACGCATGCTCTCCAATGTAGCTTTCTGCTGAGCAATTTCCTTTCTCGCAGTATTTTTTATAACTCGCCTCCTTTTATTTAGGACACTCATTTCTTTGATGCTTTTTCTTGGCCGTCTCCTATCACGGACCATCACCTGACGAAAAAAGAGTCAGCTGATAATTTGGCTGCCAGACCTTGGGTCAGAGGTGATATGACCACCATATACGTCATCAAGTAATTAACATACACTCATACTAGAATATTCTAAAAGATCGATAATGTCGTGTTGGAGCAATGGCCAATAGGCATGCACTCCAGCTTCTTTTGGGGGCCAAGTCGGAATATTTTGAGAGCAGTTTATCACCCACCACAGATTTTGGATTGATTTTGGATCACAGCTCATTATGTACTTTAACTTTTACAATTAATTTATACCACTTTTTAAAATATTCATGACTTTAGCACACCGAAAAATGGGTCAGCTTATTTTGTGATGTTTTGGTATCACGTGACTTAACATCACGTGATTTGAAGCTTACTTGCAATATTTAAGGAAGCAAAAAAACACCATCGAATATTTATCCCTTCACAAAATTTCGGCAATGCTGGTCAATTATCACGTGATGTGAAAAAATGACATTCGTTGTGATTATACCCGGATGAAAAACCACCAGGAAAACTCTAAGTTATAAAGCACATTACCTGAGGAGATGCCTATTTCATATACTCGACATCAACACGACTCAAAAAATGAATAAAAACGTACGGTATTGTTCAACAGTGAATATAAATATCCACATAGGTCGGGAGAGCGGAATATTGATTAAAAATTTAATATCACGTGATCAACATTTTGCTTAATATAATATCGCTCGTGGTCGGACTTTTCTTGACTTACGAAGAGAATCATATCCATGATTGCATGTCAATAATTTCATTGTGGCGAGGAAAATATCAAATTTTCAATCACGTAAGGACATGCATCATGTCAAAATTACCGGTGTCAACCATCTTTTGTTCTGGATGAATTTCAGTGTTGTACCACAGCTGCAGAAATGTTGGTTGATATAAAGGTTGATAAAAGCTCTTGTTAACTATAATAATACATTAACTGATCGAAGTTAAGTGGCTATTTTTTGAGTTTTTTGCGGACATGTTTTAGATAATTGTTATGACCATGGTATATGGTAGTTGCGAACTAGACAAGATTTCTAAATAATGAAAATACTGTGGCAGAATCACCCCACAAGTGTGGTGATCTTGCATAGATAGCAATTAGCAGCAGTGTTAACTAAGTGAGATGTACGTTTCGCTTGGGCGCATTTGTCTAATTCAGATCCGCTGTGCTTCCATAGTGATTACCACAAGCTTACCGTGGAAATGGAAGTCAACTTTTTCAACCTTTAACACGATCATGATGCAGTTGACATCTTAAACATTTGTTACGATCCAACTGTATATCGTTCATTGTAATTAACACAGTCGTGAAACAAAAAAGAAGAAGCACAAATTTGGAGAGATAATTGATATGCTTTTAAATGTTGCCGGTAGATATGCACGTTTGCAAAAAGGCGATTTACCGACAGCCTTGATTGAGAAATTTAACATAACGTAATGAACGGGATTTCGATTGAGGAGTTAAACATTTTTGGAATGAGTGGGTTTATGATCAATCGTCACCCGACGTAAATAAAAATAATATTCTCGAGCTATATTAGATATCACTCACAAAAACTTTAATCGTGTCCGCCTCTTCTTCAGAATGAGTATGAGGAGACCGACCTGTAAACACATTGTACCAGCTGTACAGTGTACATGATCAGTGATCACATTAGTTAGACTGTATTCTGAAGCAGTAATGTAACTACATATTCAATAATAAAACCCAGCCATTGAGCCATCTTCTGCATAATTCAGAACTTGACCTTGAGTACCTTATCACCATGTCTCCACAGCTGAAATGTGTGGCGCGGAACATTCTCCGGAGACTGTATTTACTGAGCACACCTCACTTCTTTATCAGTTTATCTTCATTGTATAGTGTTCAAAATGTATAATAAACCCGTAAATACAACCAACGAAACTTCACTTCATTCCCTATCTTCTGAGCACATCATTCTCTTATCAGCTGCGGACAATGTTCGAAAGTACTCTTCTGCATAATTCTCAGCCTTACTTTGAGTACCTAATCTCTATATCTTCACGGTAAAAGTGTGGAGTAAAACATTTCTCATCAGAAAAGATATCTACTGAGTACTTTGCCTCCGTATCAGCTTATCTATTAACCACTTCCTTGTTCAGCTTATATAGCGTACCCTGAGGCAACAATGTACTCAAGTACATATTATCTCAGTTTTGCTTGAGTGGTTTCCGCATATTCCACGAAAATCATCCCGATTTGCTTGTGTGATCTCTGCTGATTTCTTACCAAAACATGATATACAACTACTCTAACCAGACGCTGTTTGGCATAAAAAGCAGCCCCGAAAGATACACTTTTGTAACCTGGGTAGTATTCGTAGTGCTCTGCTCGTTTATCGGGGACACCAGTATACTCATCGCCTCCCTCAAGTACAAGGCCCTGAAACTCCACAGTGTCATGATAACGTTCATCCAGCACCTAGCTGTATGTGACCTCCTCAACTCCCTGGGTAACTTCCTACCTTCCGTTATCTCCGCCTTTGCTAACTGTGAGTACTTTGGGGAGGAAGTGAGGTACCTCAGGTTCTGGATAACCTACTACAACAACACTGTTAGTATAGGACTGATCTGCGCTATGACACTCACCAAGTTACTCCTAATAAAGTACCCGCTACGAACAGCTGCCTGGCACTCTGAACAAGCTAACAAGGTGAATATCATTCAAGTTTTTTTATTGAATTGATGTATAGCCAAGACGAGTCCGTTATAGTGTTTTTCTTGGTAATCTCATGTTTAATTCTTGTTTAATTCCAAGGTGTGTGGAGGAATCTGGTTGCTGTCCGTCTGTGTGCCTTCTCTTCACATCCTGGTTGATAAACACGATGTTATCTTCGATTACCGAGTTTACAGCTGCATGTACGCGTACTCGTCAGATGTTTGGAAGGTTTTGTTGCCATTAACGGCAGTTCTGATTGTGTATATCCCGACTATCACCATCATAGTTGCAACAGCGATGCTACTGAGAGAGGCAGTGAGAGTAGCTAGATCTCAGCTCCGTTGGCAGGGTATTATAACTGTGGTTCTTACTGCGGCAGTTTACACTCTCTCTTTCTTGCCATATGGGATATACTGCATTGCAGAGCCGCTAGTGGTGAAGGATCCCTTAACTCCGGGATATTTCTACACTTATTACTACAGGTATTCTTTAAGTTTACTGAATATTACAGAATGAGCGGATATTTCCTAGTACAATAAATGTTAGGACCATTTATATTGGCATAAGTTACCGAATTAAAGTATTATTTTCTAATAATTTTGCATGTTGCATGCACGATCCAGTTTAATATTGTTTTGTTTTATTTGATAATGTACTTATTTAATAATAATAATATCCTTGCAGGATGACGTGGGTGTTTGTGAGTTTCAATGTTCTCGCCAACTTCTTCATATACAGTTTGACTGTTACTAGTTTCAGAGCATTTCTGAAGACAAAGATGGGGAATGTCATGTCGAGTGTGTATCGTTCATCTTCTAATTCAGGTGAATTGTTAAATTTTGAAAACCCAATCCGTTCTGCTCATATTGAGAATATGATATTCTCATATTTTTTAAATAACTAGAGGTCATAAATACGCATTTGTGTTTTATTAACTCTCAAAATCATTACTTGGTATAACAGGCGTACATGATAAATTGATTTTAGTAGTAAAATGTCATTTAACACAGATGGAAGAACTACTGATAAGAGTAATAGATCCATACAAGCAAGCAACCTAGAGGAGACGATAAAACTAAAAGAAACATCGGTGATATGAAAACACATCCTGTAATTGAAATACAAGGAACCTATACGTATAAGACCAGGGTGAACGAAGTACACTTCAAACTATTCCACAGTTCCACTGGTGGCTGATGTGGCAGTCTAAAAAGATCAAATGATATACAGAGGGATTAAAACTGTTTTGTAGATCACATTTTGACCACTCCATAAAATGTGAACTCTGAACTGTGATTTGACACTGGTATAAGATGAGCCATCCTATATATAGAAACGGAATAATAAACCTCGTTTTGGCAGGCAAAAGAAAGTATGTCCTCCCACAGGAATACAAAAATATTAATGAGGGGAGAACTAAAATAATATTTAATAAAGCATCCTGGTTCGTATCATTTTTTCTTAAAAAATCTTAGATTTTAAAAACATTTTAAAGCATTTTCCGCGAATTTTGCTTATGTTAAATATGCAAAAGGTGGCAGGATTGTTGAATTGAAATTGTTTTCTATTTTTATGGTTTTGTTTGAATGCGTATGTGCTTTGTAATTGCAATTCACATGATTATTTTTTATATTATTAAAAAAATTGTTGTTGTTCCTACATCTGACATTGAAATACATGATTGATAAACAAAATCTGGGTAGACAGTGGACAAGAAAATCACGTTACTTTTGTTTTCGTTTCTGCAGCCGATCAAAACGCTCTTACCTAAATCCCAAACCCAACCCTAGCCCTAACCCTAACCACAACCCCGACTAAAAAAGGTTTACACTTTAAAAGTAAAATAATTAGGTAAACAAAATGATCAGTCACTGAAAATAACTGGTGACATACTAACCGCGTTATTGGCATTAGCTAAGCCTTCCTGTTCCTTTAGCTTCTTGAGTAGTTTAGCCTTCTTCCTTTTACTTTCTTCATCATTCTTCCCGTTGGCAGTCGTATCAGCTAACTCCAACATTCCACCGTCTTTCCTGCAATTTTTGATAATTAATTATTAGTTACTACAGTTGAATAATAATTAATAAGTATGACTGAGTACAGTTGTAAGTAATTTATAGATAATGAATTTGTTATCCTGACCCTGACCCTGACCCTGACCCTGACCCTGACCCTGACCCTGACCCTGACCCTGACCCTGACCCTGACCCTGACCCTGACCCTGACCCTGACCCTGACCCTGACCCTGACCCTGACCCTGACCCTGACCCTGACCCTGACCCTGACCCTGACCCTGACCCTGACCCTGACCCTGACCCTGACCCTGACCCTGACCCTGACCCTGACCCTGACCCTGACCCTGACCCTGACCCTGACCCTGACCCTGACCCTGACCCTGACCCTGACCCTGACCCTGACCCTGACCCTGACCCTGACCCTGACCCTGACCCTGACCCTGACCCTGACCCTGACCCTGACCCTGACCCTGACCCTGACCCTGACCCTGACCCTGACCCTGACCCTGACCCTGACCCTGACCCTGACCCTGACCCTGACCCTGACCCTGACCCTGACCCTGACCCTGACCCTGACCCTGACCCTGACCCTGACCCTGACCCTGACCCTGACCCTGACCCTGACCCTGACCCTGACCCTGACCCTGACCCTGACCCTGACCCTGACCCTGACCCTGACCCTGACCCTGACCCTGACCCTGACCCTGACCCTGACCCTGACCCTGACCCTGACCCTGACCCTGACCCTGACCCTGACCCTGACCCTGACCCTGACCCTGACCCTGACCCTGACCCTGACCCTGACCCTGACCCTGACCCTGACCCTGACCCTGACCCTGACCCTGACCCTGACCCTGACCCTGACCCTGACCCTGACCCTGACCCTGACCCTGACCCTGACCCTGACCCTGACCCTGACCCTGACCCTGACCCTGACCCTGACCCTGACCCTGACCCTGACCCTGACCCTGACCCTGACCCTGACCCTGACCCTGACCCTGACCCTGACCCTGACCCTGACCCTGACCCTGACCCTGACCCTGACCCTGACCCTGACCCTGACCCTGACCCTGACCCTGACCCTGACCCTGACCCTGACCCTGACCCTGACCCTGACCCTGACCCTGACCCTGACCCTGACCCTGACCCTGACCCTGACCCTGACCCTGACCCTGACCCTGACCCTGACCCTGACCCTGACCCTGACCCTGACCCTGACCCTGACCCTGACCCTGACCCTGACCCTGACCCTGACCCTGACCCTGACCCTGACCCTGACCCTGACCCTGACCCTGACCCTGACCCTGACCCTGACCCTGACCCTGACCCTGACCCTGACCCTGACCCTGACCCTGACCTGACCCTGATCTAGACACATTGCTCTGGGCACGATGTCTTGCCTGACATGACCTGACCTGACTATCCTAATCATGAAGGATCAGTAAAAATACATTTTGGAGTGAAGGGAAGAATTGAGAAAAATCCCTAAAAATGGAAATTAAAAGGATCAGTAGGAAATAAATCTTGGAGTGAAATGAGGTAAAACTCCAAAGATGGAAATTAGACTGGTCAGTTAGAAGTAAATTTTGGAGTGAAACTGAAAGGAGGCAAGACCCCATAGACGGAAATTAAGCTGATCAGTAAAGAATACATCTTTGGAGTGTAAGGACTAAGGAGGTAAGACCCGAAAGATGGAAATTAAACTGATCAACAGGAAATACATTTTGGAGTGAAATGAGGTAAAACCCGAAAGATGGAAATTAAACTGATCAGTAAGAAATACATTTTGGAGTATAAAGAAAAAAAAATCCAAAGATGGAAATTAAACTGATCAGTAAGAAATACCCAGTTATCGGAGGTAGAGTCGCCATACTATCCCTTCTACCGGACATGACGTAGAATCACCAAACTTTGCGGAGTAACTTTGCAGAGGAACGACGATAAAACTCGCTCTAGTTAAAGAAATGGTCCGGTTTTCTGACGCACTGCTGTAAGGATCGAAACGAAACAATTCCTTCTAGTACATTAAAACACATAATCCTCTCAAGAGAACAATATACGTATGCATTAAAATCGAACTCTCTGATTAATCCCGTCTAATATATATATATAATATATATATCGTATCATATATAGCTCTCTATAGCTGATGACATTAAAAATTCTCGTCTTACGACTGTTCATATCACACGGTGAAGAGACCACGTGACTGGCTTGTGGTGAGAGACTAGGCATTGTTCTTGGTCAGCACGGCTGGTGTGCTGTAAACTGTAGTGTGCGGAGAATAACTTTGCGGAGGGAGCTTTAGTGAGGGTTTTTTAACTTTCTGGCTGGTGATTTTCAAGTTTGCTAAATTGATTATGGTTTTTTAAAACGTTGTTTTAAAATGTTGTTCAAAACATTCCTGTAATTGCTTTTTTGATCATGTCAGCTCTTGGAAGGATGACTTTTGATGAATTGAATAAGAATGTGTTATCAATAGGATGTTACACAAAGCCTGATATGCATCGTAATTTGTAAAAAAGACGGTGAATAGAAGATAATTCAGTTTAACACATAGTTGTAACCTCACCCGCACCGTGTCTGTGCAGAAAGGGCTGGATCTTTTTTGAAGCTTTAAAAGCTGGTTTGCAATCTATGCATGATACCTCTTGTACCATGGTACGCTCAGCTCTATTACTAGTTTGAGTTGATTTCAAATAGAGATAAGAGTATAAAAGGTGGAAACGTCATTTTATCATATCATTATGAGTCATGTGCAATTTCGATCTTTCTTAAAAACATGATGATGAAATTATCTTTGTTTTGTCTATCCACGATGCTGTCGACCAATAACAATATGCATTAACATTAATGTTTTTTGTTCCACGAATAAATTTTAAAATGATCCTAATAAGATCATAAGAATTCCGCGACCGTACGAATACAGAATGCCTATTCTCTTCTAGATTAATCTATGATTATGAATATATAAATCTTCAGTTGATATTTGTATTGCATAATCTAAATCAGCCGCCAGGATGTTGAAGCTGGGCGTAATCGTGATAATTATGTTAACGTCTGCAACTGATTGTGTCATAAATACGGGAGAACGGTAATTTTTGAACAATTTTGGCAAGCAGCAAAAAATAAGGATACCAAATGTTACAAAAGTTAATTTATATAACGCACGATGCTTGTCTAAATGGTATACAATTCGGTATCCACCAAAAGTATTGTATACCTTATCGATAATTATATCTACATCTATGTATATACCTTATCGGGAATTCCTACTTACCGATAGCGAACCAGAATTTAAAAATTGTTACTTTAATTTTTCGAGTGTAAACCTGATATACCGAAGAATTTAGCTTTTTTCCACTTAAGTCAGATTTCTAATGTACTTATCCCGATTGTTGAAACTAGCACGTCGGTTGACTGTTGAGCCACAAAATAGAGAAATGATTGATTCCTTCCACAAAATGTTGAGTTATCCTTTACTACAGAACTAATTTAGTAATCTAACTAATATTAATTACAAAATCTAGCATTAAATGAATACCTCAGGGACACACACTTGGTCTCCTGGATTAAACTTACCTGTGTATTGAGGGCAGCCTCGCAGGTTTCCGAATAGTAACAGTAAAACCTTCAAGCACCATATCAAGAAATGTTTCTTTGAACAGTGAACCAGTCAATAGATAATATAGCAATGCTCAAAATAAAATTGATATTCGCAAAGGTCCGCCACCAACTTTGATTTTAAACTACGTCATAACAAAATATGTAATGAGAAAATATTTTATAATGAAAATATGCAATAGAAAAATATGTAATAACAGAATTAAGTAAAACAGAATAAAAAGTTATTAAAAATGTTCTATAGAAAGTTTTTAATATTTATCTAATTTTTATTTTTATTTTTCATGTGCATTTTTTAATATACGTTGGGACCTTCACTTTATAAAACATACGATCATGTATGCATCAATTTTATCATTAATATGTGCTGTACCTAATATCTCCTCAATCCTCATATTCATTTCTAGACTTTGTTCAAAATTGAACCACTGTTGTATGGTTGTGGATGGTTTTTATTGCACATAGACCGTCGGATTATAATAAAGGGTCGAAAAATTTCATCCCGGAAACCAGTGATTGACTTGTTTGACTTTGCCAAACGAATTATCTATAAATAGCTGAGTAACTGTAAGAAGGTTCTGCATATTGGGACAAGTAATTGTGGGACAAGTAATTGTGGGACAAATAATTGCGTGACACGTAATTTTGGGACAAGCAATTGTGGGACAAGTAACTGTGGGGTAAGCAATTGCGGGACAAGCAATTGTGGGACAAGTGATTGTGGGACAAGTAATTGTGGGACAAGTAATTGTGGGACACGTAATTTTGGGACAAGTAATTGTGAGACAAGTGATTGTGGGACAAGTAATTGTGGGACAAGTAATTAAGCGACAAACAATTGTGGGACAAGTAATTGTGGAACAAGTAATTGTGGAACAAGTAATTGTGGAACAAGTAATTGTGGGAAAAGTAATTATGGGACAAGCAATTGTGGGGCACGTAATTGTCGGGCACGTAATTGTGGGACAAGTAATTGTGGGACGACGTAATTGTGGGACAAGTAATCGTGGGACAAATAATCGTGAAGTTGTGAGACAAGTGATAGATCAAGGGAAGTTTGTTGATTAAGACACTCAAGGATCAGAGAACACTTGAGGAACATTTAAGCGACTCTTTAATTATTTACTTAAGTTAATAAGTTCATTTAAGGTCCTTAAGTTTCCTTTCAGTGATCCCGATCTGTATTTTAAGTATGCTAAAATTAATTTTGTTGCATCCCCTACATTTCTCAAAGCTAACAATTTGAGTCACCTCAAGTCTAGTGTTTATGTTATAAAACAGTTCATGGATTCTAGTTTGGAAACATGCCATATTTGCTGACACGTGACAACCATAAACCAACAAGTCTCCAGCAACCCTCTAGCAACCCTCCACCATTAATTAATCTGCATAACAACAATTATTGTCACGTGTCAAAACAAACAAAATTGACCTTCCCACCGGATTTATTGACAGTAGACACAAATATTATTTTTATGATAGTAATATGTGAAAAAAGAAAGATTTACCTGTTGACTGCAACCATTCTGTACAATTTCTAACCACAAAGCTCAGACTTAGAAGCAGACCAATTCAAATGTACATGCGAAAAAATACTGGAAATATAAAAAAACTGCAGCGTTGCCGATATAGATAATTCGAAAAAAACAATATGACGCGTAAAATACAATACTGTAGGAGAGAGCCGTAAAATTTCTAGATAACAGATTATGCGTAATGCGTATTGCACTACGTATATTAAGCAAATCAGCCTGCCGACTTTAAACACGGTCTGAATATTATTCATCGGTGAAACAAAGGACTTATATCTGTGAGCCGTCAAAATTACATTGGATTTCAACGAGTTTGTTGATGTGGAGTGCTTGATATAAAACTAGAAATCCCTCGGAAAAAACCACTTCGATAAGATACTGGTTTTAAAAGCAGGCAGTAGAGTTGTTAACTGTTCTCATATGCACATGCATATTAATCCATCGTAAAACTGCATCAAATCGGGTTTTAACTCGAAATTTCGTATCTTATCGATCGCTTTAATTTGATTTTGCTTGAGAATTTAATTCTGTTTAAAAAACCTAAGTATATTCCAGCCTTATATCAAAGAGACCATCGTGGATATGTGAGGATATTCAAAATGTTAGCAGCTTATCAAATCACGTGAGATATCCTTAAGACCCTAAATTTATAGTTGTAGCATGTTAAGTCCAGGCCAACGTCTAGAATAAAAAATACTTTAGTTAAAGCGGTTCATTGTTGTTAATTTTAAATAAACGTTTGCGGTTAACATTTCAAGTTTAAGTTTTACGTTTTACATTATGTTATGCTGAGATACGAGTTGATTTGATTCTTTTGTTAGCTGATTCGTAGTCTGGCACATTGCTGCGGAAACATAGCTTTGCTTGATGGCTTGATGTCGGAATTCATCATTTATTTTGAACACTTAAAATCTAATTTGAAACGTGATTCGAATCTCACAAACACACATGTTTAAAAAGTTGTTCCACATAGTCATAATGAACAAGTTTTAGAGCTTTTTGTTTTGTAATGATGACTGTGAACAGAATACAGATCGTTGTGTATTATGATCGTGATCATTCGATGTTATGATCTTTAAATTTATTCTTAACGATATGATCAAAAAGCTTTCTTTTTCTTTGAGTACTCACGACCGAGTGTTTGATAAATTTGCAGATTTTAAATCTCGACTTTTTCTGAAGAATCATACTTATTTATTTAAGTGTCAAATCTGGGAGTATGTATTTATTTCTCGATCAAGCAGAGCTATATATAACGATGAGACTCAGTATTATACTAATACTATGTACGGTTTAACTTCCAATCAGTTTTCGGGATGAAATTCTTCAGGTTTGAAGCATTGGTGGTTCGTGTAAAGAAAGTAAAGAAAGGTCATCTTCAATTACTCGTGTTACGGCTGCAGATAGGTTAAGTAAGTGAGCTTTATATTTTGCAAAGAGCTTAACTTTCAACTTCATATAGAACCCTTAGAACAAATCTTTGGTGGCATATTTTAAAAGGACTGGAGAGGAAGCTTTAAATTCGATACAGTCTCATAAGTTTTAAGGAATTTTGGCATGATAGAATGCTGGCCCTAAAAACGACTATAATAATAAATAAAGGATTTACTAGACGCGACTGAATTATTTTCTAATTATGATATATATCAATATGTTATCAGATCAACCCTAAAAATACATGTCTGCGATGAATCAGAATAGTATAAGCAAAATAGTAAATATACGTGAATAGTGAACAACATATACATTCAAAATATATATAAGCTGACAGACACACTCGTCAGATGTACAATTGTACATCATCCCAGACAGCAAGTCAGGTTTGATAGCTATAATCAATAATCATAAGCTTATTGTAACTGTCAACTAATTAAAAGCTTATTCTAACTTTTAATTACCGAACTCTAACGATATCAATTATGGCTGATCACTGCCCATCAACTGCCATGGCGACAGTTTCGTTTTATTTTATCACCACCTCGTTATGTACAAAATATGTTTTGTCCCCTAATAGTCACAATCTTTGTCGTGGTTATGAGGAACAGTCATATAAACTGAGTATCACAGAGCTTACTTATTCAATAGTTACTGCAGTCTTGTGCTTATTAGACTATTGCGGATCCAACAATGACGAATCTCAATTCAACTATCGTCATTGCAAAACCAATCAATCAAGGAGTTCCACAGGGATTTGTACTTTAACTTGGTCCCCTGTTTTTTAAACTTACCTATAAATAGCGGGTAGCCTCGCAGTTTTTCGACGCGAAAGCGTGAAGCCATCAAGAACCATTTGTAACCAACCAATTGTAAACAGGAGAAAAATTAGATAAGACTTTTAATCTTATCTAAAGACTATAATAAAAACTAGAAATTTCGTTTGAAGACAAATTAACGAAATTTGGAATGAATTATAAATGAGACTGGTCAATAATTGTATATTTAACATTTAAACTCCTGGAAAATTCGAACAATTGATCAATCCGATCATGAAAAAGAATTGCGGTTACACATTCACGATCATGAATAGGATATGCGGTAACAATCCCATCACGAAAAGGAATCCGTGGTTAAATGAACGTAAATCTGAGCATGATCATTCACAGCTTAGTGAATGCTAAAGTTAGCGTACACTTGCTGTTAACAAGTGATGCAATTTTTAAAGTAACCAAAAACAAGTAGAACGTGGAGTTTTATATACCATGCTTGGTATATCGATAACAAGTAAAACTTTACAGAAATATAATATAATATATATCTACAAGACATAACCTCGAGGACAACGGTTAACATTAAAAACTTTGTAAAAAAGCAACCCTCAAGTGCACAAGAAAGAGTAAAATCAGCTGAGATCTTATCAAGTAATACTAAATGTAATGAAGAGATAACCTCAGCACTACATAGCGTTTATAACAGTCACACACACTGCGGATTGTCAGACAATGACAAGTAGGGTTTAATACAAAGTAAAAGACGATATCGTCAAACGTTTTATATGCAGCAAGTAACATACATTCAATTTTAAATTAATGTTACATAATTATAGTTAAATAAAAGTTAACACACATGGTGATATAATCAGCTCTTAACATTTATTTATAGCCATGAAGTTATCCGCCTATCCGGATCATGAAAACAACGACCTACCTATTGTTGAGTTTACTGTAAAGTCGTACTAGATGAGTAGACACCGTTCTGTGTACCCTTTTAACCACTGTTAACCGTTTTAACCGTTAACCGTTTTAACCACCCGAACTACCTGCTGTGTAAATAACGTCAGTCACAGTGCTGGTAAGCGCGACCGTCAGTTTGATCATAGCATTATTTGGCTTATTAAAAATCATTAAAAATATAATAGGAGTCAATATTATTGGTTCGTGTTCAATCTTTAACTATTTTTCTACTCAACGATATCAGTTCATAAGGTTTAAATTAAGTCTGGAAACTCTTGTTCGACGTTTTAAATCGATCAACGACACTGATGGCACCGGAAGTTTAGATCGAGCGAAAATGAAAATGTGAATACGGAAATGTAATCATTCAGCGATTGGTGGTGTAATGTTACGAGGTTACAGGTTCGAGCTCCACGATGTTCTGATGTAGCATCATGTCAACCACTGGGCTAAGGACTCCATCGGATCTAAACAGCCCCCAGGCCTCACAGTGAACTTCCTGCTCCACAAACAAGTCGCTTAGTATTTGATCACACAGAAATTGATTTCCCCGAAATTTTCTGGACCGATTTTTCACAAATCAGAATTTCATAGACCTTATCAAACATGCTTGGGCCCTAGCTTGATCGTAAGGTCCATGAAACCTTTATACGATAAGATTACAAGTCTCCCATGAACACCCCGCTGTCACAGCAGTGACACAACTGGAATTCTCTATCAGTGATGTTATCGAGGCTATTGATGATATTAAGCCAAATGCTTCATCTGGTCCTGATGAGATCCCAGTTGCTCTACTTAAGAATTGCAAAGATGCTATGGCGATTCCTATCCATCTGATCTGGTCAAAATCCCTTGCATCTGGAGAAGTACCTTCATTTTATAAGTACTCCCACGTTTCTCCGCTCCACAAGAAAGATAGCAAGGCGTTTCCTTCCAACTACAGGCCCATTTCACTCACCTCCCATATAATCAAGGTGTTTGAGAGAATCATAAGGAAAAAGCTAGTCTTACATCTAGAAATGAACAACTTGCTCTGTAGCAAACAGCATGGCTTTAGATCAGGCCGCAGCTGCCTTACACAGCTTCTCCACCATTTCGACGACGTTTTTGAGTCATTAACCAACAAAGCTGACTTTGATTCTATATATCTTGATTACGCTAAGGCGTTCGATAAAGTTGATCACAAATTGTTGATCAGGAAACTTCACCTCTATGGCTTAAATCCAAAAATCATCAAATGGATTGAATCTTTTCTGTCAGACCGGAAGCAAGCTGTAGTGGTCGACGGCCACTTGTCATTTCTCGCTCTGATCATCAGTGGTGTCCCCCAGGGAACAGTCCTCGGGCCGATCTTGTTCCTTATTTTCATCAATGATATTGAGCATTGCATAACTGAATCCATCATCAGATGCTTTGCAGACGACACTCGTGTTTCAATATCGGTAACCTGTGAACAAGACGTATCTGTGTTACAAAACGACTTGAACAGTGTCATAAAATGGTCTGAACGAAACAATATGGCACTACATAAAGACAAGTTTGAGTACATGTGTCACAGACACAATCGACGTAGTGCTCTCGTCGAACTTCCTTTTGTTAGTGAACTATACCAGTACTCAGTATCCAAAGACAAGTCACTCGCACCTGTAGGTCAACTAAGAGACCTCGGGGTTCTCGTCTCCAACGATCTATCTTGGCAACCCCACATCAAGACCGCAGCAAACAAGGCTCGACAAAAAGCTGCCTGGGTTTTCAGTGTCTTTCAGACAAGATCTCCAGTCATAATGCTTACGCTTTACAAGTCGATGGTTCGTAGTTTACTGGAATACTGTTGCCCGCTATGGCACCCCTCCAAGATATGTGACATCCAGGAGCTTGAAAGCGTACAGAAAGCTTTCACCGCAAGGATTACTGGAATGCGTGATCTCCATTATTGGGACCGTCTTCAACGGCTATCTCTGATGTCTCTACAGCGTCGCAGGGAGCGGTTCATTTTACTTCATATGTGGAAGATTTTCCATCACCATACCAGCAACGACATTAACGTGCAGTTTGTCTCCAGGCCACGTTTTGGAAACCTTGCAGTCATTCCATCTGCATGCAGACACAGCTCAGCTGCAAATCAGTCACTGTATGATAATTCATTTGCAGTCATAGGCCCAAAATTGTGGAATGCAATGCCTTACCATTTGAATTCCATCGGCGACCGAGAGCATTTCAAATCGCAGCTCACCCAGTTCATGCTATCTCTTCCGGATACACCGCCCATCAGGGGCTACACTCCTCAGAACTCAAACTCGCTGCTTTGCTGGAGGAATGACAGAGAGATCTCCTCTCTGTGGGGTGGTCACACAATGTGATGGCCCTGTTAAAGCTTAACGAATCTCAACATAGGTGACATAGGTAGGTAACAGTGTCACGACGGTGACAGTTCGGTTGTGATAAAACACCCATGAAACTATTTTATCATTCCAATTATCTTAAATTGATGTTGAGAAATATTCAAGTTAAAAGATGTGCGAAATTATAATTACTTACATGATTTTAAAAATAGATTCCTCTGAAGCAGACGATGTTATCCAATAGTGCAATGTCGAGGCATGATCTCACTATCACAAATAAATATAACTGTAAAGTGTGGACATTTAAAAGTCAGAATTAAATGTTGCCGAAACAATTTTTGAAGAAGTCAAGAAAACAGTGGCTTTTCTGTCATAACATATTCAAATAAAAACTTCACAGTGGCTTTTTCGAACAATAACTTAACATAAACTAAAAACAACTGCTGAAAATCCAACGAAATCTGAATTTAAAAACAGCATATTCCGATCATCTCGCGTACAATTACATGTTAAAAAGATGAAAAATCATTATATTTAGTAATTAGAGGATGATCTTATGATTACTTTAAATTGTGGGCAACAAGAAAAAACCACTTATTATGATGCGTAACTTAGCTCCATGATTGTTGAACATATTTATCCGCATGGACTGCATAACAATTACAAGTGTGACCTGTAGTAATTTATTAGTTTAACGTTAAGTAAGCCTCATGGACTTTTGGGCCACTTCGTCTTATGCAACAAATTATTTATTGAACGGAATCATCGCATTCGTGGATATTATCGCAAAAACATTACAAATGTATACAAATCATCGCCAAAACAGGTGATTCATAAGTTCCGTTAATATCACTAATTCTAAACATAAAATCAACCTCAAAACCAAACACACATCAACAAACTCTCCACCATTCTTCACAGTTTACAGCTAATAGTAATAACTAAAAGTTATAACGTGCAAAAAACAACTGCTCTCCCTATCATTCTGTTAAGTATGTTCACGGTGGAAGATTTCGAAAATAAGACTTATTCAGTTTTTTATTGATCTGCATGAAAAGCTAGCTCTGTGTATTTTAACAGACTGCTTGGTTCAATCTGTACGGGGGGCGGGGGCTCCTTTATTGATGCCGCCCTTAATCAGCAACTATTAGCTTTATATCTCACATAATCCGCATACAATTACGAAACTTAATCACGTTTGCAAAAAGTTTCTCATACGTAGACAAACTTTCGCCTTCTTTGTTTCAAAAATTTATTCAGTAAAAATCGTTTGAATCCAATTGTGCGACAAAAGAGATAAATTAACTATGATATGATCTATAATATATAACATAATAATATTATAAATACTAAAACAGCCTCAGAACCGCATAACACAGGGGTCTACGTGGTGACGTGAAGGAACACGCTGGAAATTTCCGATAATTCATCGAAATTTCCGGATTATTCTCCGCTCTGACTTACTCTTCTGCTATATTCAATATTCAGTGATTTAATGTGCTAGATTTAGGACAGGGTGGCTTGAATCCTTGAGCGGCTTCAGTCTAAATAACACGTCTTAAGCGGCTTTTCTTCAGTTAAGGTGGCTTGTCTGGGTGGCATCATATCTATCTCAACATTAACCAGAAGTTATCATTCTTACTAATCAGTAGTTATCTCAGATTCACTGATAGGTTATAATCCGTCATCAAACACATCTCGCATCTAAAGTTGCGTTATTAAGATTATTGTCCGTGTGATAAGAGTTGATAGCAGCTAGATTTCCGCAGAACACATCCCGTCTGTTCATGAGAAGGGAGTCAGCTTCACAACCTCGCATTATCTGGGAGAGAGGGGTGTTACTAGGTGTTACTGGGTGTTATTCATAGATGTTATTAGGTGTTATTAGGTGTTATTAGGTGTTATTAGGTGTTATTAGGTGTTATTAGGTGTTATTATGTGTTATTAGGCGTTACATATTATTAGTTGTTCCTTTTTATTTGAAAATTCAAATAATTATTATGTAAGAGAAATGAGAATCAAGCGTTACATTTCAGTCATGCAAAATTACAGTAACATCGCATTTTGATATAAAACTAATGGAAACAATGATATTGGGTTATATGTTGCAAACTGTGTAACCGGATGACAACTAACTAAACTAGAAAAATAAATTTTAATATATATAATAAAATAATTAATTCGGTTGAACCAATACATTGAGCTGCATTAAAGTTGAGGCCGTCAAACTAGGTGTTACTAGGTGTTACTAGATATTACTAGGTGTTACTAGGTGTAACTAGGTGTTACTAAATGTTACTAGCTGTTGCGCGGTGTTGTATCATGCTCGGTTTTACATGGCGAGAACAGTCAAATTCTGACCGAACTGAACATTATTGTTTTGGATTTGATTTCTGCAAACTGTTTCACTGCTTGCAAAGTTTATCATTTTGTGGGTTGGAAATTTGCTAAAAAACACATAGAAAAATAGAAGTTGCCAATTTAAAATAGCGGCGAGGTTGCGGCTTGAATGCGTAGAGAACTGCCAAAAAGTGTTGGTGTGCTTTGCAGTATCTAAATGAAATAGTTTTATCATATGGGGCAACTAGGTGTTACTAGGTGCTTCCAGGGGTAACTAGGTGTAACTAGGTGCTTCCAGGGGTAACTAGGTGTTACTAGGTGCTTCCAGGGGTAACTAGGTGTTACTAGGTGCTTCCAGGGGTAACTAGGAGTTACTAGGTGCTACCCGTGGTAACTAGGTGTTACTAGGTGTTACTAAGTGTTACTAGGTGACATTATACCTGATGTGTAATGGATTTAGGGACAGAGTGTCCCTGTTCTCTGATAGACCTACAAGTTCTGATCTCCTTGCTCGGCTCTGTCTGCACTAGCTCTTTAGAGTCAACACAGCTCTGGATCAACTTCCGTCTGAAATTTAGTTGGAAATTAACAATGTAATACTGTCTTTATCCCCGATGTTCTAAAGCCTCTTTCTAAATTTATCATAATGAGAATGCTATGAGCAAGAACATAATGATAGTCATTAATTAAAGAATGTTCATGTCTGAGAATATTTACAAAACAAAGAAACTCACTGGCTAAATAGTTGATGTCCGATAAAAACATCATTCTGACTGTTCTGAGAGATCGCCCCGCATGCTCCATTAATGTTAGACCTGGAGAGGGCATTATTTTTATAATTATTATGATATTGTCATTAAGATTTTAAACATTTTAGGATTGATGAAAAGAAATCAAAATCATAACCTTATTCTCATTTATTTCGGTTTGAGGAAATAGTCATGTTGCATAAGAAATAGAAATAATCAGGGTTGTAGGAAGCGGGGGGGGGGGGGGGGGGGGGGGGGCCAACTTTTTAATTTAGGTTTCTAAAAATTTTAGAGAAATAAATTGTTTTCCCGAAAATTTTCTAAGTCAAAAAACTACTTTTGTTCATGTTTCATGCTACCCTGATCATTCTGAGCCGAAAATATTTTTTTCGGTTTTCGAAGTTCGATATACGATTTTGGACTCGAGGGTTCCCCTTTGTAATGCGATCTCGAAAGGCAGGCCTGATCCCCTTCGCAATACGAGCTCGGCAGCGGAAGCTCTGCTTTCAGAGGTACGTATCGAGAATGACTCGGACCGAAGTAAAATTTTTTCAAAGTTTCTCTTGAAATTACTTTTGTTCATGTTTCATGCTACCCTGATCATTCTGAGCCGAAAATATATTTTTCGGTTTTTTGAAGACCGTACCTACATTCGGAAGGTTGTGGATGTGATACTAATTGGTTTCATATATTAATTATAGAAAAAGTGTCGCGGAAACGTGAAAAATCGCGATACCGCACATGTTGCAATTTCCTTTTGTCCTTACCCTCGAAATTCAGGCTTTGGCGCGAAGCGCCAAAAAATATTTTGAATTTGGCCCCCCCCCCCTACACCCCTGGAAATAAGGCATTAGTTTTATAATTGTGAGCAAGATTTTGGCAGTTGAGGATCGAGAAACAGATATCTACATTTTATTTGTATATTATTATCTTACTTTGATTTTATGAAAGTGTAACTAAGTTAATACTCACAGTTCATGCGCGTTTGTCCTGACAACTAGGTAGTTCTGGTTAGAGTACATTATCTGCAAATCCTCCAAAAGTAACGTCAGGGTTTTATCCTTCCTCGCAACTTTTACTTTGTCTCCAAACAGGCTGATTTCCGAGTTTACCTAAGTTGAAGGTTAGGATAAATGCTACAAAGTGTTACTTGGTGTTACTTGGTGTTAATAGGTGTTACCAGGTGTTACCAGGTGTTACCAGGTGACAGGTGTTACCAGTGGCGTAACGTTGCCTGTTGGCGCCCCCCTGCCGAAAAAAGCGCCCCCCTGTTGGCGCCCCCTCCCCTTTTGGTGCCCCTCCCTAAAATTAAACAAATTAGGTGATTTTAAAGAATACGCCGGTAAAATCTCTAAAAAAGTGTGTATCTAGAGCAAAACGCGCAGTTTTGCTAGTACTTTAGTTAAGTTTTCGAAATTGTCCCACATTCAAACGACGATTTGGCGCCCCCCTAAGACGGCGCCCCCCTGCACAGCGGGGTCAGCAGGGCCTTTCGTTACGCCACTGGGTGTTACTAGACTGATTTATGAGTTTACCTGAGTTCAATGTTACGGTAAACGGGTAAATGGTACAAAGTTACAAACGGGAGTACGGTGGAAGTTGCAAACCCCTCCCTTACTTCAAACCCCTGCCTAAGCTGGCTTACGTAATATCGTCAATTATCGGTGAAACTTCTAGAATTCAGCGCCAAATGGACTTCATGGAAACTTTAGATTTCGTTAATGCTTTTAATAAGTTTATTTTCTCAAGCATAGATAGTATTTTGGCCATGAAGATGTGCATTAAAGTTGATGCCACTTTTACCTTTATTATTTGCTGTAAGCTTTCTCTTCGTATAAATTCATTTGTAGTGTGGCTTTAAAAGCCATGTTTCTTAGCATGCGCGTCATCGTTGTTATTTTGGCGATCCTATTACTTGTTGAATGGTGCGAAGCAGCTAAGACAAGTAAACTCAAGGTCAAACAATCTAAAAAGAAGAAAGCAGGCAGTAAAAAGACCTCCAAAAAGAGCAAAGCAGGAAAGAAAAAGGAAATAACACTAAAAAGCCCGGCAGTCAGCGCAAAGAGTGTTCCATACGCCGCAGCTCCTGACACTGAATACTGGGAATCTGCCGGTTACAAGCGAGTCTGGACAGAGCAGGACAGCCCTGTTAACAACATTCACTTTAAAGCTGCTTACGATCACCTCCTTGAAACTATGACACTGGACAATTTACCTCTAACCGAGCTGACTGAGGTGGACATGTTCTTGAACAACACCAAGTTTCTGGAGTGGTTCATAGCCATGGACAGGATGGAGGAGCTGGCTGCTCCTAGTTTGGTGATTAGTCCAGATATCACCGGGTTTGACATTGAAAGTATCACGTGGGCAGCTCACGTTGACAGTTCTAGTAAGTGGTGTTACCTTATCGGAATTAATTTGGTCGGACTTTACGTTAGCACTGGACTCTAGAGGGCTTAGCGTCTAGCAATCACGTGATGTCTACACAAATTAAAGTATAGCTATCATGTACGTTCAAAGGAATTTTCGCCATCATAATTATGTCCGCCCAAAATTATGTCTGTCCACGTAATATCCTCCCAAGTAAGGTCCTTTAAAATATTTGATACCATCTGTTAATAGGTGTTGATATGTAAGAGAAGGCTCTTCAATTGCTATTGCTAGGTGTTACTACCTATTTTACTTCTATAAATTGTCCCAACAGGCGGAAGAGACCTGCCCCCTATCCTCAAGAATTACTGCACAGTACCTGACTGTTTGGAACGGGGTGTAAAGTTCAACTCGTGTAATGATCACGATTTCTGGGACCCCCACCCAGTATACCTGCCCACTGAGGTGTACACGGAACAGAGCTACACCCCGGCTGACACGTTATTAGACGACTTGCTCTCTAAGGTTGAGAGACACTCCCGCACATTCACGTTTGAGGACACAGTGAATATTTTGTGTGGAGATGGGTATGTGGGGTCCACAGAGAGCAGTCTGGATGCTGTGTTGGAGAAGTTGCTGGGGGAGGATGTGGAGGTGAGTTACTAGGTTTTACTAGGTGTATCAGGTGTTACTAGGTGTTACTAGGTGTTACTAGGTGTTGCTAGGTGATACGTGTTATAAGATCAGACATACTATAATTATAAAACCCTGACATCTGATAAAATGAATTCAGCTTCACTCTGAACCTCAACTATTAACGTCTCACTGTGTCCCTAACTAACAACTAACTAACAACTGCAGGTGTTCCTACAAGCTCCAGGACAGTATAGTAACTACCTGGCGGGGAGGCGACTGTTGGATCTTCACGAGATAAACAGTGCACAGTTACTGAGACGCGTGGTTCAGAACCTGTGTAAAGGAAAGGGTGGAGGAGCGGGAGCTGATAGTACAAAGGGAGGAGAACAGAAAGTGAGCGCTAAAAAGAAGAGCGGTAAGAAGCCTAAGGAAGCGGTGGTGATTAAGAACCTGAGTTAGGGACGAAGAAGACCCGAATGGAAGAGGATCCACATTAGGAAGATAAGATTTTGAAAAGATGGTTAACTATGTTAGAAATCTAACGAGAGTAAGATTATAGCGCATGATATGTATTACTGACTGAGCAGTTATTGTAAGGCATAAACCTTTTATTCATTTTTAAGTTGTTGAAGAATTTGGTAGACGATTATAAAATGCATGAGAGCACAGTTTGTTTAACGGTTTCAAGATCCTAGCAAAGATAAATTTAATATCCTAGCAAAGATAAGTTTAATTCCGTTTAATACGATGTAAAGTTACCAGAAGCTAAATATTTAACATTTCTAACCGGTAAGGAGACTATTTTATTTCCGTAGAAAATGTCGAACTCTAGAGATATCCTGACAAGATGCACTCTGTCAATGTATAGCTGTAACATTGTAATGCAGAACGGTCTTCCCTCGCACTTGGTAAATCTGAAAGTTGAAATGTTTAAATTAAGCTGAACAAGTTACGATGATTTGCTTTAGTAATTGACTGATTATTCAATAGAAAAGTGAGATGTCCACACGCATGAGTATTGAGAAGTCCAGTGTCTACACTATCAGTAACAAAACAGTAACAAAACAGTAACAAAACAGTAACAAAACAGTAACAAAACAGTAACAAAACAGTAACAAAACAGTAACAAAACAGTAACAAAACAGAAACAAAACAGAAACAAAACAGTAACAAAACAGTAACAAAACAGTAACAAAACAGTAACAAAACAGTAACAAAACAGTAGCAAAACAGTAACAAAACAGTAACAAAACAGTAACAAAACAGTAACAAAACAGTAACAAAACAGTAACAAAACAGTAACAAAACAGTAACAAAACAGTAACAAAACTGTAACAAAACAGTAACAAAACAGTAACAAAACTGTAACAAAACAGTAACAAAACAGTAACAAAACAGTAACAAAACAGTAACAAAACAGTAACAAAACAGTAACAAAACAGTAACAAAACAGTAACAAAACTGTAACAAAGAAATTTGATGATTACCTGACATAAAGATGGTATTGAGGCTTCCTGGAGTAATCACTTATTAGATCGTAGTAACAATCCGCCGACACCTTAAAAATTATCGTATTTAATATGAAATATAACAATATCATATATAATGTCAAGTGAAACAGTTCTTACATGGAGTATAAATAGTAAAAATGACAGAGAAAGAGAAAGCAAATTTGAAAATTTGCAGTGAGAAATCAAAGTAAAAATGTTACCTGAAAAACTGTATCGTCGTATTGTTTTATTCTCCCATTTCCCCAAACAGCACATGTTTTATAAGGACTACTTTTGATTGCAGCTGACTTCATTTCACAGTTAGCTTCTGCAGAGACAAAATTATTATAAAATGTTTTCTTGTGTTTGAGAAGTGAGAAAGAAACCCCCGTTTTTTTTCAAGACACAACCTTGAAGATTGTCATACGTATTGAACAATCAATATGTGAAACGTTTTAGAGAAAACCAGCAACATCCTAAGCGTAGTACAAGATCTAAACACACTGAGATAAAAATTAAACATAAAATTGATATAGCCCGTATCATATCGAAAATATATAGATGTGGACGATTCTGGTGGGGAAGTATGGTGTAAATTATAGTCCTGTCCTAGATCATGTGTCGACTTTAAGGTAAACAAATATGCTTCACTTCCCCACCTAAATCCACATCTATAGATACCAGGTATTATGTAAAATGGAACAGGAAATTAAAAGGTTTAACCTGGCGGGTATTGGTCAGGGAGGAGCTCTAAAAGAGGGTCTACCCCATTTTCACAAACATTTTCACCGACATCTTTTCTGAAGAACATTGGGCATTTCTTGTCTCCCTGAAACAGTTTCTAGATTGAAAAAAAAATCCAAAACTTGAACTCTATGCAATGCTTCTTTTTTACAAAAGCGTGATTATATCGATTCGATTTACCAATATTTTCGGATGGATCGAGTCTCAAGTCAAGTTTTAAGCCTTAAGTGAAATAGTCAAGTTTCAAAAGTTCATTCTTGCTGAGCGTGGTCTGTTTATTTCACTTTCACTTTCACTTTCACTTTCACTCTAACCTGTGGGTCAGTGCACCAACATTTGCCATCTGTCCGACACTGGAGAGGCTTGTAGTTCCCCCGATCATCACAACTAGGCATGTTACTCCTCTGCTTCAAGGCATACGTGTTTCTTTCCTTATAACACTCCCCTGAAATAGTGAAATGTGAGTGAAATATGAGTGATATAGTGAAATGTGAGCAAGACTCGGGTTATTTTGAGAAGATGCGGTAGGGGTTTTAAAATTACAGTGATGAGCATTAAATTATTATTCACTATGACGCAATTATTGTTCGCTATGACGCAATTTTCATCAAAATCCAGGAAAAGACCTCAGCCTGAATTATTAAGTTACAACCGTTGTGAGTGTTCCATAATACTTATCATGTCACTTACCGCATTCCTCAAGAAGATGACATACTCCGTCTGTATTTACAGGTCTATCACTAGGACACTCACATCTGAAAGGAAACAGTGTAGTAGTGGTGAATGATGTCAGATGAAATTGTAAAACTGCATAGCCCCAATACCTACCCAAGCTTTAGTTTTACTGCTACCTTAATATTGTGACCCTAGCTTCAACACCCTAGCTTCAACACCCTAGCTTCAACACCCTAGCTTCAACACCCTAGTTCACATAATATGTAATAGTCAAATCATAAACCAATCCTTTGACCCACATTTAAAGCGATAAGGGGAAAGAGTAAAGGGGAGCTATTTTTCTTGCTCAATTCTGTTCCCCTAAAGTAACAAGGTCTGAGTCAGAATGAGAGTTAATGTCTGGATCACCACGACTCGAGCAGGTGATGTGAAAGTGAAAGCGAATGCGAAAGCGAAAGAGAAAGTGAAAGTAAAAGTGAAAGTGGTCTCTAAAAGTAACAAACCTAGGAACACAGTCTGAGTCAGATTGGTATTGTTTTTTAGGATCCCCACAAGTCGGCTCTACCGGATTAGAACAGATGTTGAACACGGCTCCTGAGTGATAATGTTGTAAGTAGAAGTCATGTGGGACAAAATAATGTACTAAACTATATTAGAGATTATTATTAAAAGTAAACTATGTTAGAGATTTTAAACGTTGTCCAGCCCCAGAACCTAGTACCCAAATAAGAGTTCTCAGGTAAGAGGTTCAGGGACAGGACGTCGTGAATGGTTGGAAATAGGAGATATGTACAAAATAATGAATCTGATTGATTGTTTTAGTCACGTGATACAATTGGTTGTTTTACATCTGCTTGTGCAAGTAGCAACTAGCCATCAAGAATTACATTGTTGGTTTATTTTCGTTTATATGTTTCGAAATCTATAACTCGTGAAGTCTTTGTAATGATTTTTATTCATCCATGACCAAAAGTAAATTTATATATGGTTAAACGCAAAATAATCATATTAAGATCGGTTATAGTATAAAAATAATTGTTTTAAGATCGGTTAATATTGAATGCGAATCGCAAGTAATTTTTCGCAAATTTATTTCATGCCATAAACTAGGGCAGTAAACGACAAGCTAGCAAGATATTGGTGACTTAAGGTCTCATGTCTAAGTTTGTATGTGGTTGAAAATGCACAAATGCAGCCCTCTGATTGGTGCGTTTGTTTCACTGGCTGTGCTATGATTATCCGTTCTGAGTCAAATGGGATGATCGACAACTTTACCAAATAAGATCCAGTTAACAGGGTACCCAATAAGCCCAAATCCCAAAATGGCAACTTCACTCAGGTCATATTAAAATTGCACCCATGCGGGTGCAGTTTTAATATGACCTTTAATACGAAAACTTCACCCGAATCTCAGTAGATCAGATTCGGGTGAAATTTTCCTGCGTCATGAAATGACGTGCTATGATTGGCTGTTCTAAGTAACGTGATGTGATTCTAATTGGTTCTGAGTCAAATAAGGTGATTGGTCTACTGGTATTGTACCTTCAGGACATGAGAAGTCGCCGATTACTTGTCCTTTTAAACGTTCTGGGTGTCCACACTTTATCATATTCGGACTCAGCAAGTTGTTCCTGACACCAGGGATGGTTAAGTTGAAAATAAAAAAGATTGAGATTTTGACACTCAGTAAACAAGAAGTGTTGACTAAGCGAGTTGTTCCTGAAGCAAAGGGATGGTTAAGTTTTCGTTCAGTAACTTATTCCTGAAACAGAAAGGTGCTTCAATTTCAGCGTCCCATGTTGGTCCTGAAACAGAGAGATACTTGATACTTTGATGAGATTAAGCCAGACTGCTAGTGTTTTCTTGCTTGTTGCAGGTCTCCAGACTGGGAACTTGTCTATTAAAGGAATTCCTCAAGTTTCACGATAGCCAACAGTTGATGGTTTGTCTGGCATTTTTTCAAGAACCAAGGGATTATTTGCTTTAAAGTTGCTTGTTCAGATCCTGTTTGGTGCAGGTTCCTTTTGAAGTAAAGTTCCGCAGTTTAGCTGCTTAAGTGCTTAGACAGGGAAAGATCTGACAGCAAGAGATTGAAAGCGCTGAGAGTATGTTCTAACAGTAGGTGGGAAAATGTTTTGTTTAGTTCAGCAACTTGTTCTATTCCTTGAATAGAAAGATAGTTTAATTTTAGCAAAGACACTTGTTTTTTTTCTCGTTATAGAGGATGTTTCATAATTCTTGAGATTACCTTAAAAACCGAACGAAATGAATGTTTTTACTACTCATCCACTCATATCAGTAGATTATAGACGTGGGGGCTGGAGAGGTGTGGAATATATATTTGACACGTGACAGGAGTAAATCAATCAGCTTCCACTATTCACCAATATAACCCCAGAATCACTGTCACGAGTGCCCAAAAATACGCCTCACCCCCCAGTGGCTACTTCTAGATCTATTAACCTGGTGGATGCGAGGTAGTCAGTGAGTCTGAAGAGAAAGACAGGAGAGCAATATAGGTTATCGTTCTTGTAGATCCCCACTGAAGTTCTTCTTCCAGATATCTGTGTCAACAGGTCCAGAGGTAATCTGAGGAAATGTTCATTAATCAATCAGAACAACGCGATATTGTCACGCGATATTGTTAAGAACCAATTAAAACCCTCTATATGTTGCGTGGTAAGAACCAACCAATCAAGACACGGTATCATCATTCATCATAAAGAACCAATCAGAACCCGTTATATGTTGCGTGGTAAGAACCGATCAATCAAGACACGGTATCATCATCAAGAACCAATCAGAAAGCGGAGCTAATTTACCCACGTCTGAAACTCGTTGTGACTGAGGTCCAGTAATTTAAGTCTCTGGGGGGCTCTCAGCATAAAACTCTGATATTCTGGGTAGAAGGAGAGGATATTGTTGTTGCTGATGTTCAGGGATTCTAGCTGCCAGGAGTATCCAAACTCTGTCGTTCTCATGTTCATCAAACTGAAGTTAACAATTTTGTGTGAAGAAAAAAAATTTTGACCCAAACGTTCGGGAATCGATCTTTTTCACCAGAAATCTAGTTAAACTACTTAATATTCAGTCACAAACTCATCACAAAATTATGCAACTTTACGTGGCCATTAATTACTTGTTTCCGGAAAGGTCAACTATTCGTAATTTGTGGTTCTTCCTAAACAGTCCCTTCTCTGGCAGCGCACTAATCCGACTGTTTCTAGCGGTGAATATCTCTAAATGTTTACAGTTCACCATCTCATCACCACGGAAACTCCACAGTTCTAATCTGTTCTCGTCTAGATGCAGTGTTCTTAGTTCTACCTGGAGGAGAATCAGGGGTTAGGGGCAGTTGTTGAGATTCTAGTTGTAGAAAATTCTGGATTTTATGGTGCACATTCAGGCGCTAGGGGTGCGCTAGAGGTGGACTAAGGGTACGTTAGGGGTGCAAATTTGGACATCTGTTGTCTTTCACACGACCCTACACTTTGTGAAATATAATATAAAATACAAGTGTGCGGTGCATGAGTGTATAAAAATGCCTATGAATATATTCGAACGTTGTCGAATCTCTATAATTGTCTAAAAAATGAAAATTTGTATAATATGTGAATATCTAAGAATGTTTATGATATTTGTGAAAGTCTTATAATTAAAAGAACAATCTTGAACAGTAGAATAATTGGAAAAACTGCAAAAAGCCGCGATAACTGATAATGCACTAATGTTCCAAACAGATTGTTTTGGAATCTTCTAGAACGGGCACAGAGTGAAATGAGGACATATCCGCACTTGTTAACCATTTACTAAACAGGTTGAGAAAGAGGTTTTGGTCACATTATTAAAGAATTTTCGGGAAAGTTCTAGAATGTACTAACCAGATTAAGAAAGAGGTTCTGATGTTCCTCTTCTTCAAGAGAGATACCCGTGTCTGAGAGATCGAGAGTCTTAAGAGAAGTTAACGTGTCGAATATACCAAAATCTAGATACAACCGGGAGTTATGCTGTAGTGTTAGTTCCTCTAGCTTCTCCATACCCTGAAGTTAGAAAAGTTATAGTAATATTAAAGGTTATTAAATTGAATTAATAATTAACAACAAATGTTAATGAATAAACAGTGATGTTCTGATAAGCGTTATTTGACCTTTGATATAAAATTGGATGTCAGTAATGATGGTATTCAGTCGCAGCTTCGTCGACTGAATACCATCTGAATACCAGATAAGCGAGTGTGGAATCTTAAGATTGATGGTAGTCACGTAGACATGAAAACGACGTAACTCGAGGCGACCTGCTTGTGAGTAGACTATAGTTTCGGCTTTTTACGGCCATCCACAGTGAAATCTTCGCAATTCTTTGACGGGGAAATTTTCGTGGAAAGCCATCAGATTACTGGCTAGCACCTCAGAATCTGCAGTATCCACCACATAGTATTGACCTCGTACACCCCTTGTATTATTCTTTGTAAGGAGAGTACGAGGTATTTTATGACAGTGAACACTAAGGAGGAGTCTCGTACAAGCTCCACTATTAAATTGAAGTGGTAAGAAGAACCCAAGATCCTTAATTTCACTCTCACAGTCTCACTGGAGCAACATCCCGGTTTGGTCCCTTTCTCTTATCTTTATTAGTATATATATATGTTTATTTTTGATTTATACCTTTTTACCGGGCCAGCCCGATTATCTTGCTATAAACCATTTAAATTTTAGATCGAATAAAATCAAACGTTTTCATGTTTCTAATTAAAGTAATCTGACGTTCTTCCTGAATAATATCCATGGATAATTGATATGTACCACGTACACACTTTACGAAGAGCGTGGTGATCGAATCCGTAAAATTTAATTTGTCTTAATACAGCTAAAAATTGATAAAGTTATTTTTATACCATAAATGAATCAATACTAAATTTAGAAACAAGGACGTGCTTGAATTAATATGATACAATCTAAGAATAAATAAGTCATGCCTAGAATAAAATTTAGCCTTATTTTTCAGAGTTAGTATAAAACTTAGTATACAAATTAGCCTTAGAGTTTCAGAGTTTTTAGATAAACCTACTGTAAGACAACCCTTCAAGTTTCAGACTCTTTGATTAAAGGTTTTTTATAATTTTACTCCTGGAGTTTCAGAGTTTTAAAATTAAACATACTCTAATTTTACCCTGAAGGTGGATCCGGGAAGGTAGCCCAGTTGGTTCCCATGGAGATGCAGCTTCTTTAATCGGGGAGCATGGAAGTGTGGTCCCCAAAGCATGTAGATATCGTTATTATTTAGATTAAGTTCCATAAGATCTCTCAAGTCTCTAGGAAAAGAAGTCAGGGTTAGTTGGTTTATGGAGTATTGGTGTAGAGGTTCCGTACATTTTATTCGAAAATTGGTGGAGCTTTATGTCATATCTAGAACAAAACATAGGTGGGAAAAAAAAGTAATTACCCATTATGCTAACTACAAAATAGATATAAAATCAAATAAAAAATCACCAATTAATTAATTAATTCATAATTATTTATTCATTAACGTAATAATTACCCGTTGAGATATGCTATAGAATCTGAGAGTCTGTTATTTGACAGATCTAAGTGGGTAACATTCTTTGGTAAATTCTCTGGTATCTGAGGGGGGTTTTGTTTAATAATCACCACAAACCTTCATCACTTAGTCAAACAGAGACTACCCTGAACAACTCTTTAAGCTTTATCGGATGTGCTACTTGAACTGGATGTATTTCGGTAAATCACAAGGGCTATCACTAACCAGTAAAATACCAATAATAACGGTTATATAATTATATTATGATCCAATTATTATAGCTTTGCTACTCGAGTAGTTGTGGAACTTATTTTTTATTTATTCAGGTTTCATCTCTGAGAATATGCCGCGTTTTTTATTTTTATGTGATTTTTTGAGACAATGTTTTGGTTTATTGGGTATTAGGTATGAAGAGTTTGTATATTATTATATTTTCGTAAACGGTCATTAGAACCACCGGCACCGCCCGGATCCAAAACGAAAATCAAACTAAAAATCTGGTGTTGTAATAGCCTGTTGAATGCCGCTCATATCATTAGACATATTATCTCCATTACAAATTAAAAACACTTTTCAGTTGTCAGTCTCCGGTCACCAAAAATTTTCATTTTCGACGAAATTAAACGAATTTAATCCACTTCTCATAATGACCTATTGAAATTTGGATTTTGGGGTCAGAAGCAAATCCCTTCTCATGGATACAATGTAATAATGACAAGTTGCTCGAAAGGGAACAAATTAGACAATGACATGTTTGCATTACAATGCAGACAGGTCAACAATATCCTGCATTGAAATTATATTCCAAGTGACTGAAACTAAAAACTTAATGACTTTCCACGAACCTGAGATAAGTTTCTGAATGAGCAGTCAACCCAGAGGAGTGTCCCAAAGTCTTTACAATTACAAGGTTTACAATCACATTTAGTAAAGTGTGTTTCCACTAGAACAGTCAGGAGTAGAATTAGTAGGCAGTGTAGTGAGAACATAGCTGAAGGTAATTTATAAAAGTTTGATAGTAAAGAGGAGAAATGTTTGAGCAAATATCATCAAAGATGCAAAATTAACTTGCTCCAGTTTCAGATTATTTCAGTTTCGAACCATTTAAATTAGAAGAGAATTTGATTTTTGACGATAAATTGTCCGGTAAAGTATGATTAATGCATGTTGGATAAAAAAGGGGAATTGCTAAAACAATAAAAAATAGATCGAAATCAAAAATACAATAAAGAGACTCGGGCTCCAAAATTAGAGGAACAAGTAGACGAGACAAGATTAAAGTCTTGATCATAGTTTTGATGAAGGAGCAAAGAAGACAATAAAGTTTTGGACTCTACTCAAGTTCACCTCGTACCCTGCATTTTGTCGAATGATTTTAGCTTAATTTTACTGATTCATCATCTGAAACACAGGCATGTGATATGCAGTGTCCGATCAGAGAGGTGTGTTACTATTGTCGGGCCACCCAGTTAGGGAGCTTTATAAACTAATCCACGATTATTTAATCATGAGTGCAGAGATATGAAGTTTAGTAATATAAACTTATAAAGTACTGTAAAACGCACTGCATCATCTTTAAGTTTAACTGCGTAAACGTTCCGTTAATTCAAAGGGACATAAAACGTCTGGGACAAAACTTTATTATAATCTAAATCATGAAATCCAGATGAAGTTCGTCTAAACAGCTAGGTTTAACAACTGATTGAATGTTCGATTGAAACTTAAAAACTGGATTACTTTTAAATCTAAATAAGCAAATAATAAAGCAGTGCAAAAAGCCCTGCAATACTGCATCATCTTTAAGTTTAACTCCGTGAACGTCCCATTGAATTACTCCTTTGCAGCGGGACCTACCACAAATATTAATTAATAAATACGAATTAATGGGTATAGGCTTACGACGAGAAAGGATATACCGGGTCCGTCGAACGGAAGCGGGTCCTGATCATGTACGGAGGAACTGCAGTGACCAAATTTGTGAAGAAACTGTTGGCTAACTCCTTGTTTGTCAAATTAACATCACTAAAAGCGGACATTATTTTGAAGACATCTTTCCTGAGTATCCTATCTATGAAAAATATGATATCAATAAAAATACAATAATATAATATTAATAATATAATATTAATAATATATTATTAATAATATAACATCTTGTAAAGATAAAGTTGAGATAAACCGTTATCTATATAAACATCATATACTCGTATAGGCCTGAAATACAGGTGAACCTAACATGAGGAGCTACTCCTCGAATAAACTTTGTTACTTTATAAGTTTATGTCCGGATGTGTGTTCATCGGTAGAAAAGTCGAATGTTTGGTAAAACTTGAAAAGTGCTGGTCGAATGTTTGGTAAAACTTGAAAAGTGCTGGTCGAATGTTTGGTAAAACTTGAAAAGTGCTGGTCGAATGTTTGGTAAAACTTAAAAAGTGCTGGTCGAATGTTTGGTAAAACTTGAAAAGTGCTCGTCGAATGTTTGGTAAAGCTTGAAAATTGCTCGTCGAATGTTTGGTAAAACTTGAAAAGTGCTGGTCGAATGTTTGGTAAAACTTGAAAAGTGCAGTAATCGTCTCAATATAGACGGTCACTTCTGTAGAAGTGTAAATATTGTATCAGGCATCAGCTGTTATGAATAATACTAATATACATCCCAAAACTATGGAGTGGAAATTTTAAACCATTTATGTTTTCACGTTTTGATTACTTCACAAATTATAGGATTTATAATTTACTATTAAAGTAAACAAACAAGTATCACCTCCCCACGAGTATCCACATCTATAAGCCGTGTCTATTTTTAAAAAGGCGCAAAAGTTTTCAACGAAGTACAAAAATAAAAACTTTCGTTATCGTTCAATCCTCCTGGAAACAGAAAGAACAACACCCCGATTTTCTAACCATATTCCGAATCCCCGTCAATTAAAGTTCAATAAACTAATAACCTCAAAATTAAAATAGTCCCTTCATGACAGAAAAAAGGCACACATTCTGAACAGCATATTAAATTAGAATATCAGAATATCCTAGCCAGGAGCGATAGGGTTAACCATATAAAAATAAATGGTAGGAATAAGTTACTAATATAGAGGACCTCTCCGCGGCCGGAGAGTCAACTTTGCTAAAGTTTGCAGAACGCCAGGGTTCCGGTACCCGCAAACTCTAGATTTTACAAAAGTAGGCAATATCAATAAGAAGTGACGTCACGTACTAACCGGTCAGTCATGGCCCAGTATCTCTGTCACGTGACTCAAGCTAGCCAATCAGATAGGTCCAGACACGTGATTGAAATCTATCAATTAGAAGGAAGATGCAGAAGGTAGAACGAAGTCGGCATCTTTTTGTGTTTGTGTTCGCTCTACGATATCTAATTTTGGTAAAAACTTACCATGCTACAGACTCCCCCTCTATCAGTCACGTGACCAAGACAGACTGCCCCTTCTTGATCACTTGACTTGAAAAGGGGGAGTCTGTCTTGGTCACGTGACAAACTTTATTCCGTATCCTGGCACCAACAGATCAAATAATTTGAATATCCTGGCACTAACAGATCAAATAATTTGAATATTGCGTCAGTTTTGGGGCCATAAAAGGAACACCGGGATTTAAATAACGCTACTACAGTCTTGTTACAGCCTTGTTACAGCTTTGTTACAGCCATGTTACAGTCATGTTACAATCTTGTTACAGTCAAGTTTTGGGAGCTTTCAGGAAAACTGCATGTGCAGTTGACTTTACGTGCGAGAAAATTGAATCAAGGTATAAGCCAGACTAAGTTATAGCGTTTTGTAGGTAGACAACGAAATATAAACGAAAAATAAATAAGAATTAATGAGTCTTGGCTGATGACGTTAAGCAGTACCCCGGGGTCATTGCACGGATGTACTGCCAGCAAAACAAGCAGATGAAATCATCCTTACAACGTGTAACTAGACGTGTCACCAGACGGATGGACGGATAGAAAGACCCGGACGGATGAGAATTGATGTCTGCAAAATGAGTGAACCAGCTGATGAGACGACCAAGCCTAGAGAGTAGTGGCTACTCCCCAAACTAACGACACTGTGGAACAGAGTACCTGGTTTTACGAAACAAACAAAGTTCAAGTGTCATTCATTCACCACCCAACACTTTAATCAGTATGAACACGATGAAATTCGGTAAAAACGTAATTAAGAAGAGAGCTGAAGAGGAGTGAATATTAGTTTACCAGGGGGATGAAGATTAACGAACTATAAGTTGATTACTGGGCTGCACAAATGCAGTTACATACACTGGTCGGTGGTCTAGGATCTTCCTTCCCTCTCTCCTATTCTCTCACTCTCGCTGATGGGGGCAGGGTGTCGTCACTAACGTTAACAAGTATTTTTAGGATTCTGATCTGATTACCAGGGGAGGTACCCCGGATCCCTTCTGGACTATACCTAGCACTGATTCCAGACTTAACCGCAAAGCGCTGGTAGACAGCTCCAAGCTCGCCGGCTCCCCTCTGCAACTCTCTTCCTCCTGGTTTTCTCCTCTTTTCACTGTATCTTTCGTAACTCTCTTCTCCTCATCCGCTTTTATTTCTGGTAGACAGCTCCAGCTTTGCTGGCTCCTCCTCTCCTTCCCCTGCACCTCCTCCTTCTCTTCCTCCTCCTATCCTTCCCCTGCACCTCCTCATTCTCTACCTCCTCCATAATTCACTATATTCTGTTCTTCTCCACTACCTCAGTTATCATTTCTTTTTATCATGTCTTCACTCCTCGCTCCCCACTCTCCAGCTTCCTTCCCTCTTCACTCTTTCCTCCCTTCTTCATCCTCGCTCAACAAAATAAAATATTGTGCACAAACAGTTACACTTCGATAAAAGAAAGAACGGTTCAAACCCCCTATAAAGCGGGAGTAAGAAAGTTTTTATCACTAAGTAATGACAGACCCTTACCTATTCTTCCATTAGGACAATGGCAACATACAAGTTTTAGGGATATTGTAGGGATATTCACGTAGTCATTGATAAGAATCGAAATTATCATATGGTTACAGATTATTTATAATAAAATCATAATTATATTATTATAATCTAAACATAATTGTGTCACGGTTCGATTCATGGTAGAGTAAAATAACAAATAGTAAGCAGTTGTTGACAATAATAAATCAAGGAAATTACAATTATTGTTACAAAATCCCTATGTTTTGCCAAGCGGTTAGTGATTTAAACGTCTTCGGTTCCCTAGTTTTTAACATACTCATACATTAGCAGATAGTGATACACTCACTCATTCTGTGTTTAGTTAATTAATTATTTAAATGAGAAATACCTTTATTGCAGACTGGTAAAAATCTTTTTATATGACCTATCAGGGACCTATAATAATAATGCATGATAATATAAATAAAAACATACGTACGTTATTAAAGGATTGTACTTAATTATCGAAGACTATACAAATACAATAAATATAGCAGCTTGAAGAACGTGCCCTGCAATCTGCATGCTATATAATTAAATAATTAATTATCAAAGACTACCAGTACCAATGTGGTAGCAATTGGTATTAAAACGTGCACGGACAATTTTAATAGTGTTTTAAAAGTATATAATGGAGCGTAAATTACTTTTATATTAAATTATTATAGATGACGCGACAAGAAATTATTTGAAAATCCCTCTCAAACGTAAAGTTTCTCACCGATCTTGACCGTAATTCGTGACCGTAATTATCCTACAAACTATATTATAACAACCTAACTATAACAAACTAATTATAACAACCTAATTATAACAAACTAATTATAACAAACTAATTATAACAACCACCACTTTCATAGTCACCCTGACGCGGGGGGCTTATAAATCGTCAATAGTATATATTATCGCCTTTAAACAAGGCACCGCACCACATGCAGTGCACCGCACTACATGCAGTGCACCACAAGTTTAAAAGAGCACCAAGTAAATGCAATATGTGCACCAAACACTGACCTATATGCGTGTAACTCTTCAAAAGTGTTTTTAACACTTCGCGTTATCCGATAATACGCCCGAACCAATTGCTATAAGGTGAACCACGCTATAAAACGGTTTTTGATCTACATTTTCCCTCCCTCGATGCGCGTTATATAGCGAGGTGTTACTGTATTAAGCATTAGAACACACAAAATATGCAAAGAGATTCAATAATTTCAACAAATTTCAAGATTTAAAAGTGCAGATCTTACAACTATTTGGTAGCGCTTCATCAACGTGTGGACGCATAATTTACACTGATCGAACTGTTAGAAAGCTCAATAACAACATTCAATCTTATGAGGATGCAGTGCCAGTATGCACTCACTGTCTAAACATCCGTAAATTTCAGATCATTAGACAGTAATACCAATTATTACTACTATTATTAATATTATACTATCATTAAAAATATTACAAATATCATTACTTATCAGGGGTACCACCAGGCGCCAGTTACTGTTAGTTCAGGTGTACCAATTATCACACGAAATTCCTGTGCGAAGGTTTGAGCTAGCTACACTTTTGTCCGGTACACTCCTTTATAAAAATAATTATGATTGTAAAACTGATATAATGAATCGTATGAGGACAGCTGTAATAACGTGCGTCATTCAATTCGTGCGAAATTCCCCAAAATCGTTCAAATTTATACGGTAGGTACTAGAGCGACAGTCATACTTGACTTTATTTTGGATCTAAATATAGATCCCAATACAAACCAGTAGTCATACCAAGTGTCTTGTTTTCACAAAGAATTTAAAAATTTAGCCGTGAGTCAAAGCTACTTAAATATTTTACTGGTGCAATGTGATCGGAAAAAAATTTCGCACTATTTTTTGTGACATGGGACTGATAAAGTAATGCACAACTGAAGGGGATTTCTGGAATCATATAACGTGTCTAGTCATGCGTGCGTAAGGGAAATACACGGCCACTCCCGGCAATGCCCGCCGAACTTTTTCTCTACTATGGTCTCTGGTATTTGACCTAAAAACTAGCTGAATGTCCTCTCGTCCGGTCCCCAAAGTGAAGCTCCAGGTAGCGCTCCACTCTAGGAGTCCTACCGGGCAGGTCAATGTTGGGATTACAAAGGGATAAAAGTGTAATAAGCAGCTGAATGATAGTTTGTAAATATCATAAAATAAAGCTTCTGATAACGCTAGTAGATGAGAAATGAAGCACAGAAGACTGTTTATAGTGTTAAGAGCCCTGCCTAAATATAATTCTCAACACTGCAGAGTTCATCAGTAACTTACGTTTTTAATAATTCCCAAACGGTGCAAAATAAAGCATTTCTGTAAAACGTTTTTTAGAAGAGGCGAGTTCTTATTGGTGCATGGCGGATTCTGAGTTTTAGAAGTGTGCGTTATTCAAAGATACCCAAAGTCTTAAGAGAAGAAGTAAAGGCACAGCCTAGAATTCCAGCAGAGGGTAAAGAGTACACCATATTTATGAAACGAGTTGAGATTTAAAATGTTGAGAAATGCTCGGTGATGGTTCAGTGGCGTAACTTTGCCTGTTTGCGCCCCCCCCCCCCGCTCAGTGACGAAAAGTGCCCCCCCCCCCTAAAATTTTTTGTGTCCCTTGAAAAAAAAAGAAAAAAAAAAGGTCGGGTACTTTTTTTCTCGCCCCCCCCCCCCCCTACAGCTTTTTGCGCTCCCCTGAAGCAAAAAAGGGTACCCCAAATATTTTTTTCGCGTCCACCGAACGCTAAATTGGACATGAAAATACACAAATAAGGCGTTTTTTCAGTGAAAGGGCCTAAAATTCAGGAAAATTGCGCCCCCCTTATAAATTTGCACTTAGTCACCAGTTTGCTAATCTAGGGACCAGGGCTAAATAATGTTCAGTACACGAACAACATGAGGTGATCAAAGGATAAGAGCAGAGGATAAAACAGACAAATTATTAGCAGAAAGTTTGGTCAATGATGTGCTTAAAGTTACCACGCCTAGCAGTTGAATCCTATGAGTACATAATTGTAAACAATGAACAGTTCGTCTAAGATTTTATAGTCAAGCTTTCTTAGATCATACTCAAACTTTAGTGTATTCCAACTTAGAATTTGTAGAGAATGTAAGCTCTTGGTTGTAAAGAAGCATATAACGTTATAAATATAAGCTTGTTAATTATTAAAAGACTCATCTTAGTCGTACTCGTAGAGTCTTTATCACCTCAATCATCGAAACGTGCTCATCCCCTCGGCCTTAAAATTAATTAAATGCTCGGTTATATGTTAAAAAACTAAATGTAGCATTTTGTTAAATCTTCATTATACATGTTGTTTTAGGTAAGTGACCTTTAGTGGTATAAAATTGAAGTGAACATGAGAAATTTACTGAAAATCATCTTAGGTTACCATTTTTGCCGTTCTGACCGCACTCTAATATCGATATACCAAGGGTTTTACTCATTAACAGGGAAGTGCCTGATCTCCCTTATCTCAGCCGAATTCAGCTTCTTTTAGTTATTTAAGTAATTAGTAACAGCATAGCGTCAGTTCTGCAGGTAAATAAAATTTTGGTAAATAAACCCACGCTCGCGTGTCACCGTAGCTGAATCGTAAATTGATCTTCTTTTTTCCACAAGACAAAAAACGATCCGGCTAGTTTTCGCACCAGTCCCAGAGGTCGTCTCAATTTCTAGTTATAAAATAACTATACAAAATAATGACTAACAGGTACCGGACAACGTAAATAATAAATTTAAATTAATTCGACTCCGGAGACCTTTTTTGATTCATGGTGAGCATGGCAAATCACCATTTATTCCATTTTGTAGGAACTTTGTCCTACAAAATGGAATAAAGCATTTCATAACTTTGGCGCGAGCTGTGAAATGCGAAACGCGACGAAAGTGGGCACCGTCCTTCTCCTCACGATTCGACCGCTATTCCTGCCGTGTGCGGCTCCGGCTATGTTTTCCTGAGAACATGCTCTGTTGTTACGTACCGTCACACAACACCCGATCAAAGGTCTGTAATCGAGACTGGAGAAAGATAAGGTCAGGGCCATTGTACATCACGTAAACCGCCAGACCGGAGATTAAATCCAGTCTATAATGAGCAGAGAGGCCGGTATTTATCAGGAAAAAACTTTATGTAAAACCCTTGTCGGAGTGTCGGTGTGATGAGCCGCGCATTGCCACATGTAAGTGCGAACCTCCTTTAAGTTTAGTAACATATTAAAGATCTGGATACCAGCGGAGAGGCGAAGCATATAACCAATAAACTTCAAGCATTGACCAATCAAATACCAAAAACACTATCACGTGTCAAAATGAATATATTTTAACCCCCTCTCCCGGCCCCCTCAGTTGTACTTGTATGCTAATGCATATCTATAGAATACAGAATCTTATCTGATATGTGTTGTTAATGTTCGTAATATTGGGACTTACTGATTTCTGTTATTGACAATACTATAATAGAATACTACATAGTATAACTATGAAAATATGTACTGATATCGATAATATGGGACTTGCGTCAGTTCACGGATATCCAAGTCAACTTGATTCGTATCCTAACTTTTAAATGTCGCAATATCCAGATATTACTCGGACCTTGGCAACAGATCAGCTTGGAGGAACTGAAGCATGTGACATACAACAGCCAATCAACATGAAGGACCTGATTTCTGTGACCTATTTATAGATCAGCAATCAATGGACACTAATTGTAATTCCCTACTGAAATATTTTGTCACTTTCTCAAAGTAGACACTAGACAGCTCTTTTTTGACCTTGTTGATTAACCTAACAATAATCTTTTCCCAAAGTACCTGGATCCCTGAGGTTAAAATGAACTCTAGTTCAGCTAGACAGATCCACCAGGCATCGTCTCCCCCTGACCTTGCTCCCCCTTTACCAGGCTGCACTGCCCCGGTACTCAGCATGAAGTTGGCAAGGTTGCAGACTGAGGGCAGATGAGTGTAACGGTTCGAGGTGGCACAAACTAATTAACTCTATCTACCAGTGGTGAGTAGCTGCTCCTTTGTAATGCAGACTAGCCCGACTCTTGCTGGGTTGTAGTCAGCCTAGTGCCGACTAGAGTTAGTCTTGTTCAAGCTAGACTGGTCCTGCAGTGACTTTGGCTGGACACGCAACGCTGCACAGATATGATCGGGGAAGTTGGGAAGTATCCTGCACAACTTGTCACATAAACGTAACTTTTGTACGATTTCACGTGGTATGACGTCATAACTAGTGGGGACAGGGGTAGGACCTCAGGACCTGCACAACTTGGCTTTAAAGTAAATAAACGTACCTTTTTCTATAGCCCAAATAACGGAATAACGGGCTATTAGATAACTTTTCAAAAATCATGCGAACGAAAATAAATTACAAATATTAATAAGCAAGACACAAACTGCAGTAGACAAGCGCACTTTTACTTATATAGTTATATCAAACTCTATGCAATCACGTGACTACTGGCTCTTGGGTTATTTGGTAATGGTCATCACATTTCTGCCGTCACCACGTTGTTGGTTTTTAGGTAAGATTAAAGCAAATAACGTCTAAATGTCACATTTCGTGATAGTGATCCTTGAGAAAATGAATTTATTTGCAGAGGTTCTTGCACTCTGCACTCAATACTACTGCGGAGTAGGCTGCTGAACTATGTACTTAACTGCTACGTGAATCTTGAAGTTCAAGTAGACATCTCTACGTCGTTTTGCGTCTAAGCTCATATGACGTCATATTGACACGTGACATAAGCCCGTCAATCAGGGTGCTGGAGTTCATTCTCGTGAGATATTTCTAATAGAATTAAGAAGCATTACAGCATGATATGACTTAATAATTATGTAAGATACTTGTATATAACTTGTATATAAGATACAAGTTTCGAACATTTTAATCTATTTTCAGAGAACTGTGCATATAAAATTTATTGACGTGAATCAACCGCAAAACGTTATTTAATTACGGTTAGGTTCAAGCCACCGCAAACAACACTTTTTTCATGCCAGGATACAGTTCAATGACAAAATAATAAAAACTTATAAACGTAATTTCAAAGTCAAACTTAAATAGAATACAAGCTAAACATATTGCACACAATCATGAATAATAATAATTGAATAAATACGAAATCTTGAAACAATCTTATCACCGAAATAATGAAAAATAATAATCGAACAGGCCTATAACGGAGCACAAAATAACCTGTTTAGGAATCATAACTTAGAATGTATTCTCATAATTAATATTCAAATAAAACTCGGATCAAACAACAAACAACAAATACATATATCACACCGTATATAATTCAATAGCATTAGCTTCATCATGAAAAAATGGCTAATCACAACTAAATACAACACACACAAAATACATAACCTCTCAACAGGACGGATTGAAAGCACGAAATTATATTTAATCAAATCTACTTCTCGCCCCAGCTGTTTTGCAGCTACCGAACATACCAAGTGGCTTTATTTTCGCAAGATATATCAAAGTATCAAGCACAAAGCCAACAAGTTCGCAGTTCTTGAATTCAGATCACAAAATTAGATATCGGCCTTTGTCTCTTCTAAAATTAGCTCATTTTGGAGCACGCTCCTTCAGTCACATGACATGACGTAACGTTAAGGGGGGTCTTGCTGCTCCTTTATAATACGGACTAGTTTTAATTAAGTACAATCATCACGTGATATGACGTCACGTCCCGTGACATGACGTAACGTGAAGGGGGTCCTGCAGCTGCTCCTTTATAATACAGACTAGTTTTAAGACGAGTGCCGTGAAGCTGGTTTAAAAGAGTAGGAGGAGACGATGAGAACGTATAAAATAGGAGTAGAACGTCTAAGAGTGGGGTTAGAAAGGGCGGCTAGACATTGAACAGTCTCAAAACTTATATGAACTGCTGTCCAGTGCTAGAGCAATACTAATAAAGCTGATAAGGTTTAATTTATATTGTGATTATGAGCGTATATGAAAATTGTATTCTGGAAATGTTCCCTCGGGGCTCGGGCGGTTATACAAATACAATGCAGCCCGAGCTGGTTCCCAAAACGGTATTCAAATAAACTAGGTCAATATGTCGTTCTTTTTTTCTGTCAATCTTTACATGATGATTAAAAATAAGCCATGGAAAACTCTCAAAACTCGAGCTACGTCTTTTGAAACAAATATATACGACTTTATGTACTCCACTCAGGTTGCATCACCAAGAATTGGAAAAAATACAGCATCATTTGAGTTATAAGCTATCTGTGAATCTAGGTTCCAACAAGAGGGTGCAGATGATTCCGGAAACAAGTCCTCAAAATACCAGTGTTACCATGACAACCAGTTAAAAGACCACAGGTTTCATCAAAGTAGAGACCATACCACAATTATTGTTAAGACACTGATCATCCAAAACAGTTCAGGTACTGATCATCCCCACACAGGTTCCACTCAATTTCCACGTAAGATACGTTACGGCCCAGGTCCCACCAGTGCTAGTAGTAAGTCCCCGTAGGTCCCTGAGGTGTCGTCATCAATTGCCTCCTTGCAAGTCTTTTTAAACAAATCTTTGTAGCAAAGTTTTATCTGCACCATGTCAACCTGGAAGAGACGTCATGATTTAATTCTTGATGAATATATGCGAGCATAATTAGATTAATTAATGAATTGTGATCTGCTGTAACTATTATATCTTGGAATAGACCCAATGATGTGACACAGCAAGATTTATTGACCATAATTCCAAACTTTCACCGGCTTTCACAGCATTATTTTTGACTGAGGACTTCATGATAGATTTTGCCCGAAGGAATAAAAAAGTGAACGGCCAAACCAGATTAAAATAAAGAATTTAAAATGATTGGCATCTCCTTGTTTGGGATATTTTTTACAAATTCCTAATTCTCAGCAATATATTTTGGCAATACTCCAGCAGTGCACTTTACAGCATAAGTTTACAGAGCTACGAAATTCAATAAACAATTCTCGTCAATCGGGTGCATTATACGGTTCATTTGGTATACACTATACAGTGGCCACTGGTCATAAGAAATTAAATATAAAAACGTTACCTCGCATAAGAAATTAGAAATAAGAACGTTACCTCGCATCTCGCCACTATGTTTCTGATGAGTCTGTCATCGTCAGTACCTAAACCTCTCATTGCTTCATACATCTGATTAGCAAAGAACTCCTGTCTCGATATAATGCACTCTGGGAATAGTTCAACAGCTGTTAGTGAAATTAGGGAGAGGGGAAATTAAATGGCCGGCCTTTTACTTTTATATATTGGTCGACGGCCATCATTTTAAATTTTTGGTTATGTTTGGTTTAAATTCTAAGTTTCCTAAGTTAAGCCCTCTTTTTGAAGTTTGATCAGTTTGAACCGTTTTGAAATAAGAAAATACTTCAACAATGAGGACTTAAAACAAGTTATTTAATATTTACCAATATAAGTTGAGATTAGTTCCTTCAGAACCCCACTGAACTCTTCGTTCGCAACATCAACTATTTTCCTATTGTACAGCTGAACAATTCTTTATTAATAACTTACTGCTCGTAGTGAAGACGTGTCATTAAAAAGCTACATACAAATGAAAAATAACTGGAAGGTTGCGAATATGGACCCCAGGTATAAGAACCTGATTGTCTCATGAATTATCAAAAGGAATGGCTGGCACTCAGTTGATAAAAAACTGAAGAAATGTAAATTAGATAAATCAATCAAGTTAATAATACTGACCCTCTCATAAGCGTCAAAAGTGGCTCTTAACTGAGCAAATGTAACATTTTGTTGGAACAGAACGTTGATAAAACCTCCTTCATCTGTTCCCCACTTGAATTCACCTGCCTGAAGATTAAAGGGAATCGTTATTTGTTCTTTAGCTACATGAACGTCATGAAAGTACCATTTTGGTAATTCGTATTGAGTGCAGTCGTCAGTTAATCATGGTTATCAATTATCTATATTATTTGCTATAGTGTAAATATTGATTAATTATAAATGAATTAATTAATTACCCCGTAGAGTTCACCAGCGTCGCTCCTTGCGAGTCTCTCGTCCCATTGACTTTGTTCGTCCCTATCAGCTGGGCTCATCTTAGGACTCCATTCTCGGTGGTACTGGAGGTGAAAAGCGGTGGTTAGAGTTGGTTTAAGGAAGGGGAGAACCTGTAAGACTGGCCTCCAGAACGTCATTTTTGAGATTCAAACAAATCGAGGATGTTCAAAGGGTGTAGGATGTTCAGCCCGACAAAATACCGGTGGAAATTATTTCGTAGGTCCTAAAATGACTCCTCCATATCCAGTCTTAACCTTAAATTGGACATAACTCTTTACCTGAGGTAGCTCTGATTCCTCAGATTAGAACCTGTAAGACTGGCCTCCAGCCGAGTGGTATATGATAACTTATGAGCGAGGGACTGTGTTATCAAAACCCTCTAGTAGAACTGATAAACAAACGGGCTGATGTAAAAAATGGTGCGGATTATATAAATTAATTAAATATCGAAGCGCCGTTATGTTATAAAATTAAAAATTAAAAGTGGCTGTATATCATAAAATAATTACCGCATCTTCGAATACTTTCTTTACGAATTCAACGGCGTTTTCTCTGTCTGACATTAATCTTGACTCCTGAGAGAATGTAATGATCACAATTATTTTACAATTTCAATAGACTTCATATTTTATCTTTCGAATGGCTTAAATTGGATAAATACTTATACTAGGTTAGCGATGAAGCAAAATGGACCGCTTATCCGTTTATTGAACATTGGTTGATACTTGATAGACATAAGAGACTTACCATGAATATTTTCTCGATATCTTTAACCAAAGAAAGTGGCCGCCCATTGTCAGCCTTATCAGTAACATCACCGTAAACTGCGATGTTATTTTTTTAGTCAAAGATAGATGAAACCAACAGCCGAGAAGTGACAGTCTGAAACGGCTATTTTGTCAAAACTCAACTTGAGAATAACCTATTATTTTTTAGTTGAGCACTATCTACTTCAAAAATAGTTGTAACACTATAAGGGTTAATTCCAATGAAGGCTTAACGAAACGAACAAAGTGTAGTTCGTACACATCCGCACACACGATCTTACATACCTTCCGCATATTTTTCCTGGATAGCCATAAGCTGAACGTTTGTTCTGGAACATATGATCTCTGCTAGCAATTCCCCATCAATAGTCAGTAACTGTACAAGAAATTATTCAATGTAATGCAAAGCATATCAGCATATCTTAACTAAATGAATGATTATGCCAAACATATCTTGACAAAGAATATTATTCAAAACGTTTTATGCTTTAATTCCCTTCTAACTACAACTTGACTAGCATGCGATGGTCCAATTGCTAAATTGTCATATCATGAAACTAAAAAGAAGTTTCTAACACCCGACTAAACCCCTAATGAAGCATGTTGTCGAGCAGATCAAAAACTCTGATGACAGCTTTGTGAGCGACCTCAGAGAACACCGGGTATACCTACGCATAGCAAGCTGTAGTTTAAACACTTACCTCGAATAGAGCTCTGTGCAGAAGTTGTACATCATATAACACAGGGTCTGTTACCAAGGCTTCCACTGCGTCCTGGAAATCTCCGTTCAAACACGACTTCAGCTCCTCCAACATGTCCTGGGGAAAGAGATGTTAAATTGTTAGCAGTGCTTTCGTTGGTCGTGGTCCAGGATGTTTCATGATTCTTCAACAGAATTAAAGTAGAGTTAAAAAGCTCTTTTCATGAAATGTAAACGAGAAGTATAAATCACATTTATTGTCATTTTTGTATACATGTATACCGAACCTTTTGATAGATTTTCATGTAGGTAATACAGATCTGTTGTCTCTGAACATTTGATCTGTTTGTTAGTATCTCTATTATAGTTTTCTCAAACTTCTCTTTTTCTTCCTGATCTAAAAAGTAAAGTATTAGATATCTACACATAACGCGTCGCACATAACGCCGATAACGCGTCATACATGACACGTCACACAAATAAACGCGCCACAGATAACACGTTAAAGATAACGCGTTACAGATAGCGGGTGAAGTAACGCATTACACTGTGGTCACTCAGACCAAGATAATCCAGGACAGCTATTAAAGTGCTTTGTACATCTGAGACAAAACATCAGACAATGATATTGAAGAAATACATCGAATTTACATGTAAAAAAGACACTCTGACACATCAATCCACACATATAAAAGACAACATATGTAATCACAGCTGTATGTGTAAGAGCAGTTGCATAAAAACATATTTAAGAGCACTATTGATCCTCTGTTGGAGTTGTTCTGCCTTAATGACCCTCTCAGCCGTTCACTTGGATCTCAACAGAGGATCAGAAAGCACTCCTTTACATGTTGAACAAATGTATCCTGACGGAGTTCCCGACTTTTGCTTTTACTCAACCTCCCTGTCCCTCTTAAATTCCCCGAAAGCCCACCAAACCTGTCTGAAACCCAATGTTTTGAGTCGGGCAACAGTTTGTAATAGTCAGGATACCTTTAATGCAACTGCGTATTAACAGCTAAAAGGGATCTTTCACTCATAACTTAAGCAATATTTCGGCCATTTTAGACCCCCGGTCTCCACCTCCACTTTTACGCATAACTATTGTGTAGAAATTACATCAGCACAAGCATTTTCAAACCCCTTCAACATAACAAGTGAAAGATCCCTAAATACAGAACAGTCACCATCGGTAACAGTAACCAATAACCATAGTAACAGTAACCAATAACCATGATAACAGCGACAACTACAGAACAGTTACCATCAGATCCGTCGCAGTAGGGCCAGCAGTAGCCACTTTTATTATTTTCTACGGTGGGTCTTAAGGCTTTGATAAGAGCGGCAAACCATTTGGCAGGTAAGCTAGCATTTTCGCCGGGCACTGAAACGTAATTTTAGACATTTTATCAACACAGCTAATGAGTTGAGACCTTAATGTTATAGGTGGGTAACGTGGTTAATCTAGGTGCTTCAAACCAGCTTTTAGTCATGATGGCAAATGGTGAAAATAATTGTTGGGTCAAATGGATATGCTCCATCAGCTGTTGAAAACCATGATTGATATTGTCAGATTTAAAATTGTGGCGTGATCAGGACAAGTTGGGATAAGACGATTATATTTGCTTGAGGGGTTCCCTCAAACGATTGGTTAAAAAAGCAACAAATGATTAACAATTATACATTCTATAATCATCCTCAGAAATTTGAACACACTGTTTGACAATAATGATTACACAATAGAATTTAAAATTAACAAAAATCTGTGGAAAACATTCAATATTTCAACGATGAACAAAGTAGACTAGGATCATGAAATATTCTATGTACAGACATATACAAATATACACGTCAATACTTACTCTCAATTCCGAAAAGTTGTTTCAGCTTGCTGGTAATGGAACCTGAAAAAAGGTTGTTTTCTAATAAAGTCTGTCTGAGCAAGGGAGACTTAAAACAGATCCTCCATGGAATAAAATTGCAAGTAGAGGACACCGTGTAAGAGCGTAAAACTGAAGCCAGGTTTCTCGGTGTATTTGTTGATGAAAAGCTTAGTCTGGTAGGTAGTCACATCACAGCAGTGAAGAGCAAGATGTCAAGATTTATTGGGGTGATGCATAGGATCTAAAACGCAAATTGCCATTGAAGGCCCGTTTAAACATTCTTCAAAGTTTTGTCCAGTCCCATTTAAATTTCTGCTCACTAGTCTGGGGATTTGCTGCAAAATCTATTATAGAATCCCTTTTTGCTAAACAAAAACAAGGTTATATGAGAGCGGTTATGACTGAAATGTAAATAATTATTATTTTTAGGATGAAATACTCCCAGATCACACAAAACATGCATTTAGAGAACTAAAAACACATTTAGAGAACTAAACACGAGGTCTTAACCGTTCAAGGGGTTATCGTTAAAAACGCTCTTACTTTACTGCACAAAGTTCGAAATATGTCGAGTATATTACTCAATCAGAACTATTTCCCTTAACTCCTTAAATACACTTAAACGCGGAACGATACACCAACAAAATTTAGACTGGTTATAAATTTACTGACTGACTGACCTCAGGGCTTGCATCTTCTATAAAGGGCAAAAGTCCAATGCTTGCTGTATCGGAGCATAACACTCGCATTGCATGCACATCTAGTATATTTTCCATCAACATATATAAGAAATTGTCAAAAAAGTCTTACTAGATTTGCAAAGTGCTGGTTGTAACGATGAATGACCATTCTTACTTCACAACTTACCCGGATTACGAAAATCAAAATGAATCTAAACAGCGGAAATATAATAGCCGCCAAACTGAAATAGCACAAATTGAATTATCAGGATCTGATTCGAAATCACTAGCCATTCAAACAACACATGTTTCACTGTAACCAATCGCATACCTAAGCTCAGAAAACTGATAACTGATAAGACACCTAGTTGCAGCTGTATCAGTTAATAAAGAATTTCTTATAAATTTGCAGATCAGAGCTTTTAGAATCAACCGATGGAATTTGGAATAAAAAGTTTTGAATTCGATTACATACTTGCGTGCCCCGCGGAGATGAATATTTCTTATTACAATAATTATATATTTTTGAGTAAACATTGCAATTGACTGGTACTACGGGCCAGTCCCCAATCAATCAATATGTCAGAAAGAACGTTACAGAAAGCTATCACGTGACACGCCTTACCTCGTCTGAGCATGAGAGCGGCCTCAATAGCTTCCGCGTCCGTTTTAGCGTTGAAGTAGGGGTACGGAGAGATGGTTCCCGTAAACCCCTTCATCGTGTACGGGTGCATGTACTGAAATAAAGCGGGTTAGAGCCTGTGAGAAATAGCTGTTTAGAGGCTGCGTGGTATAGCACTGTTTAGATAATAAGTTAACTCTTATCATACTGGGGGTGGGTTAATTCATCCATCCCCCCCCCCATCATCAGTAACAAACAATCCGTAAATCTCAACCATGTACTGAACCCCTGTGGGAGATACAGTGTAATCAGGTTCAGATGAAACTAAACTTACCGTGTCTTCATCCACGGCGTCCCTTTATATTCCACCGAGCTCATTTCAATTACCCCAATTAAGCTCGTTTTTATATGTAAATTATATTTTATAAGTTAGCTCACATGGATTCATTGACATATTGAACAAAGACCGCCTAGGAGAAATCATTTGCAATGTACATAGTTCTCAGCTATTACGCGGTCTTTAAAATCAGTTTTATTTATCATTATGTCTGATTTATGATGACGTCAAAACACAAAAGGGGTTTCTCCTGCCTACCGTACAATTTGTTCACTCCTATTATTCCTAAATATACGAGACTCGCAATCTTACACCCAACCGGTAAAATGTAATGTGTAATGTGGAATGAATTGTTACGCTTATTACTTATATGTCACAAAATAACGTTCACAAATTACTGAAATAAGAACTGAATATACAGAAGTTAAAACAAAACTGAAAATAAAAGTAGTTTACATTTTAACGTTTGAGACGACAACTTTTGCGATAGTCAAAATCACGTACCCTAGTATAGCGACTAAGAAACATGTACTTTATAATTTATCAATTTCAGGAACTTGTCATCTTCGTGAATTTATATATTTTCAGAGGATTGTTTCAAAACAAAAGAGCCACAGTTTTAACTAAAAAATAACCGTGATAGAGACGTTAGGTTATTAGGTTCTTATTTTCTGTTCAAAGTACCATATTTACAACTGGTAACCTTGATTAGTAATATCAATACATTTTTTGGCAACCAGACATTAACCTACATACCTGCTAACACTAGGTTTATAAAGGTTTGTTCTGGAAGGATTTAATTTGTATGACGGGGTTTTATTTTAGATACATTATTCGTCTTCACCTATAATTTAAGCTTATAGCGGGGAATAAATACCTTGCTGAGTTTCGGATTTCTCTTCACGGAGTCGTGCTTTTTAATCGACATTTTCGGGTTTTCTTCCGCAACTAATTAACTCTACTTCGTAAACTATAAACTCTGCTCTTAAAACACAATTATGTCCGCATGAAAAAGATATGCGATGCAATATTAATTAGTAAACAATTAGCAATATTAATTAGTAAATAATTAGCAATATTAATTAGTAAACAAGTTTAAGCTGTCGTTGATAAATTATTACTGATAGTCTGTGAAACCATGAAAAAAGTAACTGAAATTGAAGAAAGTGAAAAAAATAAACTGAGAAAGTACCAGAATTAATTTGTAAAAATAGATTTTGCAAATTTAAAAAGGTTACAAGGAAATTATCGAATCTTACGATTCTTTTATTGAGCATTTGAAAACAAACGTTGATAAAAATTAGAATTTAAACAAATTTCAATGAGAAAGGAGCCACTAATTGCTCAGCCGAGAGCTTTATTTTTATAATTTGACTTCAAGGGGAGTCATCACAACACCTTAAAGCTTTTCACTTTACAGTTTGTAGCATTTAGCAACACGTCATAGCAACACATAACAACACATAACAACACGCGACATAAAATACACTAAACAAACCTTGCCAAAATCCTGTCTTCTGGCCTTGTGGTTCATAGTCATTAAATGTAAGAAACAACAAACATTTTACTGTTCCTATCAACAATGACTATTTAAAATTAAATATCGCGGACATATTAATTATTGAATACAATGTACTGTCTAAGACTAAAGTCTTTCGGGGAAAGGATGATGTTCAGATTAAGAAGAAGAAGAAGAATTTAAGTTCCCATATTTATAAGGTAGCTCTCCTTAATTCAATAATTCACATTAACTTTTGTCATTATCAACAATGATAACTATAAATGATACAATTGTTTTCACAATTTGCTCCATCCGCTTAGTGAGAATATTACACATAATATTCACTTGACGTTCTGTTCAATCAGGGACAGGCTATATAACTGTCAGCAAATGCGGAAGAACTATAACAACCACAAACTATTCATCGAAATGCGACTATAACAACTGGTCGCACAAATGGAGCAGAATGTAGAATCCAGGAATGACGAGTCCCAAAACAAAGGATTGGTTATTATAGCTTTATAGGACGATCCTGAATGGGACATGCAACGTTTTATAAGTACAGCTAATGAACTACCAAAATAGTAGTTGAGAGAGACTTAATCTATCAGTAAACTAACCAAAACAGACAAAGTCGATGTAGACCGATAGCCGATAGGTAGACTAGTTAAAATGTAGCCCCAGTAAACTACCACAGTAAAAGTAAAGATTTACAAACCGATTAATTATACTACCGAGACCACCATCACTAATTATCAAGATAAACACCCTAATTATAGGAGATAACAAGGCTGCTACACTGGGGAAATTGTCGTGAACTGCAGTAGAAACTGTTAGATCGTTAGGCTGTTACCAAGGCGACACGTTAAGAAGTTGTACCTTTGTGAAGATTTTGGTGAATCTATTACTCTATAACTATAATATCGCAGTGGAACTAGCAGTGGAACTCGGAGTGAAACTAGGAGTGAAACCAGGAGTGCACCAATCACCATCGCACAATCAGCACTCAGCACTATAATATCGATCACTGCAACCCGATGGTACGTATAAATCTCCACACAAAATTATGAAATGGTGCCAGACGAGTGCTAGACGTGCGAGATAGTAGAACGTGCCATAATTTGAACCTTATAGTTGGCACGATAAAATTGTGGTAGCACCAAGACTTTCAGAGGACATTAGTTATGCAGTGATAGGAGGAGGGCAACAATGATGGCAACTTAGAGACCCTTGTGAGGACCGTACTTACAAGTCACTACCTCTATTGTGGAGACCACACTATTCACCGAGTTGTCATGGTAACAAAGCAGTCGTCATGGTAATGACTGGTATATGACCTGAAGCTGCAAATGAGCCTGACATTATCTTTTAATCGCTACAAAGCTTCCGGGAGCCGGGCTACTGGTAGGAGATCAATAATCTGCTGATATTTGGGCAATCGTCTGGGTATTACATCGAACTATAAGGATCATAATTTGTACACAGATACACACGTTAACTGTCAGAGGGCTAAGGGTAGATAATTTGTAGAGCTTCATAAGGCACCTGGTGCAGAGAAGGGAGGAGGGAGGAGGGAGGAGGGAGGAGGGAGGAGGGAGGAGGGAGGAGGGAGGAGGGAGGAGGGAGGAGGGAGGAGGGAGGAGGGAGGAGGGAGGAGGGAGGAGGGAGGAGGGAGGAGGGAGGAGGGAGGAGGGAGGAGGGAGGAGGGAGGAGGGAGGAGGGAGGAGGGAGGAGGGAGGAGGGAGGAGGGAGGAGGGAGGAGGGAGGAGGGAGGAGGGAGGAGGGAGGAGGGAGGAGGGAGGAGGGAGGAGGGAGGAGGGAGGAGGGAGGAGGGAGGAGGGAGGAGGGAGGAGGGAGGAGGGAGGAGGGAGGAGGGAGGAGGGAGGAGGGAGGAGGGAGGAGGGAGGAGGGAGGAGGGAGGAGGGAGGAGGGAGGAGGGAGGAGGGAGGAGGGAGGGGAGGAGGGAGGAGGGAGGAGGGAGGAGGGAGGAGGGAGGAGGGAGGAGGGAGGAGGGAGGAGGGAGGAGGGAGGAGGGAGGAGGGAGGAGGGAGGAGGGAGGAGGGAGGAGGGAGGAGGGAGGAGGGAGGAGGGAGGAGGGAGGAGGGAGGAGGGAGGAGGGAGGAGGGAGGAGGGAGGAGGGAGGAGGGAGGAGGGAGGAGGGAGGAGGGAGGAGGGAGGAGGGAGGAGGGAGGAGGGAGGAGGGAGGAGGGAGGAGGGAGGAGGGAGGAGGGAGGAGGGAGGAGGGAGGAGGGAGGAGGGAGGAGGGAGGAGGGAGGAGGGAGGAGGGAGGAGGGAGGAGGGAGGAGGGAGGAGGGAGGAGGGAGGAGGGAGGAGGGAGGAGGGAGGAGGGAGGAGGGAGGAGGGAGGAGGGAGGAGGGAGGAGGGAGGAGGGCTTATCAACTTAAGTACCTGAATAGTGTGTAGTAAGCCTTACCCTGAGAGTCCCATTGTACTCAACTCTGAACAAGAGAGGTCAATTATGCTCTGAGCACCGAACCGACTAATACCAGTCCAGTAATGGACAATGGAACAAAATTAGCTTCATAATGATCCAGGCTTCTAATTTTATGGGCATGTAAGATTTTTAAAGATTTCAACGCGGTTCAGAGGTCATTAAGTGATTTCTGATCTTTATTTAGACTAAGTGGGTTCTACATCTAGATAGTTTGTGGTCTAGTAGTGGTAGATTAACAATGAATTATTAAGCTAAGGTTTCATTCTATTTTTGTCAGCAAAGAAACAATATTGGGCTAGTCTAACTGTACGATTTCGGAAGTTACAATGTACTTTTTAAAAGTCAAGAGTCTACATTTATTCGAGTTATACGTTTTTATCAACCACAACGATCATCCTCCACTTTATGATTTTAGTTTAATCGTTCAATTTTGAGGTGTGGCTTTTAGAATGAGTTCAAACGAGGTCTTGATGGTTCGGATTGTGAAATATGATGTTTTTTTTGCAAACTTAAATCAGCTTTAGCAATCAGCAAGAACTAGCTTCATTTTCAATGTGTGTCCTCTGAAAGTGACGTTTCAATTGAGGACGTTAATAGTTAATACATCTAAAAATCGAAATGGTGAATTGATTGAAATAAAGAAATCGAAATTAATAAATCGAAATAATGAGCAAAATAAAAGACAAAATTATAAGTTAAACTAAATAAAGAGATAAAAATACATGTTAATAATGAAACAGATAGAATTAAACAAATAAACTACATAGGAACCCTTTCATACCACCCTACAACGACTCGTAGTACAGCTTGCAGCAAGGAACTACACAACAGGAAATGAAGATATCTATTGTTCAGTCACACCAACCTACCACGGGTTTCATTCTTTTGATGAGTTTCTGGGTCGCAGTAAGCAATATATTCTACCACAATAAAAATTACTTTATGAGAATACTCAATACTGAGTATTTAAAGTTACGACCGAATCACTGATTTGGAAATTATTGGCCCTAAGTTCTTAAGTTATATTGGCCTTTACTATAGTGCGTTCGACTTTTTATTTTTCTAGCACTCGTCAAAATTAAGGCATACAAAATGTATGATGATAAACAATCAATTTAAAACTTTTATCAACGAATATTTCTTAATATCATGCCAACTATATATAATCTCATCGTTTGATACAAAATTAAACAAGCAAATCAATCAATCATATTAGCGACAAGAGAAACGCCATTGTTGGACGTGAGGAGAGTGAGGATTCCTCAAACTACATTAAATTAATACCTTCTGTAACGTCCTGAATAAATATTAATATAGTTACGAAAACAAAATTAATAAGTTAATTACCTTGGAGGAGACACGGGACATTGGTTTGTCGGGGTCTCGGTGAGCGTAATACATCGCAAACTTATCACTTTAAAATACGGGCTGTGTAAGAAACAAAAATAATGTCTCGTATAGTGAGCCCCCAGAACAACGCAATACAAACTTAACGTTATAACTACTGTGCAGTCTAAGACAAAAATATCACGTGTGTTCTAACTATGTTTAAGTTTGCACGTGTGCAATGTGCATCAGTCACAATCAAGTACTAGGACAGTGTTGAATAATTACTCTTAACGGTACCGGGTACCATATTACGTTACCCTAGTCGTTTACATTATTACCCTATGTTTGGCCCTGTGGAACGTCCACCAAAAGCAAAATGTACAGCAGAACAACTAAAAATGTAAGATGACCGCTAATGACCGCTAATGACCGCCAATGTCGCAACGAGTATAACGCTAACTAACTCAGACATCTAAAAGTTCAAACTGAACTGTTCCACTGGTTCCACTTGAATATATAATTAAAACTATTACAGTTAACCGATACGGCGCTTATGTTTCCAGCGACCCTTAATTCTTAATTTAGATAATTTAGATTTTAGAACGTCTGCTGAAGGAAATAAAAGGACCACGGTCAAAAAAATTTAGATTTAACTCGCGCTGATCGTTGTTTTAAAAAATTCCGTGAATTTTGTAGGCTAAGATTTAACATACTTTACAGTTACGGAAATGTGACCGCTTAGTTATTAATACTTTGACTAAAATTTTGGTTGCAAATTTTGGTCGTTTTACGGTCTCAATTAAAAATCAAAAACAGTGTTTGTGCATACAACTTTAACAGACAATACTATGAACTTATAGTTATGTTAATTCTCAGCCTCGTGAATATTTATATACTCATCAAGTTACACAGGTTAAGAACTAAGTAATGTACTCACAGTAACACCAATTACTTATAATTACATTACTAGTAATAATTAGACTCAGTCCGAGACAAATTATAGCAAAGTTAAGCTATTGAAACATATAGTCGCATCACTATTTAGAAAATTTATTCCTTTGTAACAAAAATAAGAGCCTCGCACAAAAGCAACCCCTGAACTTAACTGGGGGGGGGGGGGGGGGGGGGGTAATAACCACTACTACTACCACCGTAAACACTGAACTGGGTAGTTTACAGTATACTTATAGTGGTTATAATGGTCACGGTGTTAGGTAACTACAATAGAACCCTATAGCAGTGTATGTGAGTGTGTATGACAGTCTATGCAAAATAAAAAGGTTCAAGGGGTAAACTGCTCTTAACAAAGCTATAATCTCCATGCTAATGACCACCTTAT